CCCCCCCCCCCCCCCCCCCCCCCCGATTGTACCCCCTCCCCTACCCCTCTCAACCCCAAGGAAGGAGAAGGCGTGTTTGCCGCCGTCAAGAGCGTGGCTGGGCGTTCGATTTCTCGGATGACCTCCCCAAGCAAGGCTGTAACCTCCATGACCCCGGTGGCCGGAGTGAGGTTGCTGGCGAGAGCGGGAGGGGTTTTCCCCCTGTTGCTGTGGTGGGCGTTTTCTGTCATGAGGGGGGTGCTTCCTGTGGTGATGTCGTGGCTGGTGTCTAGGTGAGCCGACGAGGGAGAAGGGGTTAACCTATCGTGATTTCACGATCTCATGATTTCATGATGTCATGGTCTCATGATGCCATGGAATGGGGGACCCCACCGGTGTTTTGGCACGCGAATCGAGTGGTTTACGTTCAGCCTCTCTCTGTACATTGTAAGGCTGCCCGTTGGTTATTGTTGTGTATAACAGGAAAATGCACGTGTCATCGCGCTGCTGTTGATGCTGCTGCTGCTCCTGGTGCAATAGAAAGCTACCAGGTTCTAAATATACTGGTCAGCACCGAATGATAGAACGAACACGTGAAGTCGGTGCGGGGGAAGTAGATCAGCCCGCGTATTGTGGTGTAAAAGAAGAGGAAGGGTCTGGCAGCACCACTCCGGTAAGCGTCGCCGGCCGACATTCCCATGCTTTCACCGCGTCATGCCCCTAGTGGGATATCGCCTTTACGACCACTATCTAAGAAACTGCCAGTAATACACATGCCCCCCCCCAGCGAGGGTCTTCGATCCGTAGACAACGCCCGGTACTACGGCTGTATCGGCGATAAGAGACATCTCCCTTCCCCCATCAACCAATACTTGTTGTAGGTTAATGCACCGGCTAGCCGATTTCTCCGCGGGCCGTTACACGTTATCGACGTCCCACTACCGAGAGTGCCGGTCAGCGTGCTTCAAGCTGCTCGGGCAGCAGGCGGGAGCAGGGCTGTCACTTGGCGTTGCCGCTGGGGTGGTGAGAGGGTGGCTGAGACCGAGGGCGCGGGAGCGATCAGCCGCTGTGTGCCGCCGTGCATTGGTGAGACGGGCGAACTCGCTCGGGGACCCTCGATGGTGCGGTTGCCCGGTATTGTGCGGGTGAAATTGGCTGGCACAGATTGAACAATCAAGATGGTTACCATATTGAATCATGCGGGTTCCGGCTGTAGTGTGGATGAAAGCGCTTGGCACATAGAGGGCCCCCGACTGTAGTGCTGTGCAGTTAGCGCAATGAAAGCACTGATAACTTGGCAGCTTAGAAATTGAACTGAACCTAAAAAACGTCAAGAACTTGAGCATTATTATGATTGTGAGCCCGGTTAAGAACTACTGCACTATAATAATACCTACTCTATACAGCGGCCATTTGTGGCATTAATTACCCTAGGAACTATTGTAAGTAGCTCGACCTCGGGCAAGACTATTTTCAAGTCTCAACGAGTGCTGCTGCTTGTGTAGGTCTGAGGGTATGTGTGTTGTGAAGGATGGTGTCGGAGGAATCGAGACTCCATCGGTGGGTGTATGCGGCCGCGCCTTCAATACAGTTTATTGATGTCTGTTGTGCTCCGGTAGAGTAGAGCACCGTTTGTGCACAACGAAAAGAGTGCAATTGTTGGCCGTGAGGCGTATTTTTATTTATGGCCAACATATACCCCCCTCTCTTCCCACCCTCGCGACCTTTCGCTCGTCATCGATTTGCGCTCTTGTTGCTTGCTTGCTAACCTTCGGGTTCTCTTTCTTCTTTTGCGGCTATCGTTTTCGTTTTACGGCAAAAGGCGGGCGTGTCTGTGGCGGGAGGTACCGACCGACCACCGCCCTCGGAATTCCGCGAGCTTAGCCTCGCCCCCTGGAGCTACATGCAGCAAGTGATGGAGCTCTCGAGGGGCGTGGCGGGTGTGGCGGCGGTGGTGGCGGTGCTGCAAACGGTGTGGCCGTTTCGTGGACCAGTGACCCTTGGCGGTAAGGAGACCAAGAGAATCCAGGGCAGGAAGCCACTTGTGATTCTCCTAGCCGCGTGATGTGTGTTGTTTGTTTGGGTTAGTCAACATATGCATACATTAGCCTTAGTCAACATAAGTAACCCTGAGACATTTATCTTCTCTCAGATCGATCAGATACCGCACACGCTCGTACAAATACGCGCTGTCACAAAACGTGAGTTTCACCGGGGGGGGGGTTTCTTGGTGTGGTATGTATTCTGTATATACGGTACGGTACGGTACGGTATCACCCACGTAGTGACGTCTCGAGAACAAGCGAGCAAGAGCCGAAAACGAAGGCATCCCTTCACCCTACCTCCTTGGCGTTACAGTTACAGTTACAGCAGTAGCCATCAGCAGCACGGTGGGCACGTCTGGTACGAATCCTATTCCTCCTGCCTTCTTAAACAGAATGGCATTGATGGCGTTGTGGCGTTTTTTTGTTGTGATGGGAAGCGAGGCTCTCTTCTTGAGGGTGTCGCAATCAGCTCATCAGCACGCCACCGATCCGGAACGACGATACGATGCTATCCTCACCATGCGAAGCCATTGTCTACGTACGCCTTGCCATCCCATCGTGAATGTGACACTGCTGTACCGCTATCCCACACCACGTACCATGCAGGAGGTGCGGCGGTTCTGCTTTTGCTAGAGAGCATCCGCACGTTGTTGGGGACCGAGGACCCTGGCGCCGCAGAAGTCCGTGGTGGTGGTAGCGATGTTGCTGGTGAGTTGGTAACGTTTAAGGGGGGGCAGAATAGGGGTGTTGACGCTGGCCCTTTTTCTCATACTTTAATCCAACATGAAGAAAGAAAACAATCTTCCCGCCTGAGCAACCTGGTAATTAGTACTATTAATAATATCAGTAGAGGACACCATCAAGAGGCGTCGTTCGTGCTGGCACGTTCAGGTTTGCTACTGGAGTTGAAATATCGAAGGTCGCGGCAGCCTCTGAAAACAGTCCGAAATCGGCGCTGGAACCAAGCGGCATCCAACATTTGTCACAGCCGTGCTCACCGCCACAGACCGTAAACCCCTGAACGGAGGGTTGTCAGCAGTAGCTAGTGGCATCAGCTACTGTTGTAAACCGCAGTTCAGGAGGTTGGGGTCAGTGGCGGCGAGCACAAGCAGTACAAGACACTGGGTGTCGGTCTAATTTGCAGAGTTTTGCGGATAATGTAGGCCGTTGCAACGACGCTCGATATCACCACCATGGAAGAAGATTTTAGCGTGCCAACACGCACCGCCCGCTGCTATAGGATGTCCTCTAGTGACATTGATACTATGCACCATGTTCCTGGCAACACAGAGCTTATTTGAGCACCTGCCGTTTTGGCTCTATTGACTTGATTTTGTAGTGGTGTGAATTTTTATCTCGATTTCAAAGGAGGCGTGGGGAGGTAGACGCCTGAAATGTATGTTTTGAGAAGCCTCTACTGCCGCCCTGTGCGAGAATGAACGATTTCTGTTTTTCGCGATGCCCTCCGAGTGGTCTTGTGTCTCTCGTGTGTGCCATTTCTGGTGCTCTTGCGTTTGTTTTCAAAATTTGTCGACATCAAAGTTCGTGTTCTGCCATCCCATAAATGGCGTGTACTACAGAATGTACCGCAGAGTACTGTAGAGCGTCTAACGGGTTCAACCAAATGTTGCGTCTGCTGGCCACTGAATGCGTTATTGCCGGTCTACTGACGGCTGCATGAATATCTTCCGCGGAGAAGTTGGTTGGCACAAACGATTCCCAGTTTATGTGGACTGATTTTCTTCGAGGGCGTCGAAAGCAAAGCCAACCCTGAACAACACGTTCATTATTAATATCTAAATCAGTGTCACCGCACGCAAGCTGCGTTCGTTCGGCGTGCTGTCCCTTTCCCTGTACTGCATTCATCGATCACCTTTGTTCATCGCGATGGACACTTACATCACTTGGATACCCACCTCCACCGTGCTATTTATCGTTCATCACCATTGACGGCATGTTGACACCCCTTCCCTCGTCCGGTGTTTTGTTGCTGCTTCAAGAGCCGTCGGGAGGCATCCACGGCGGTGCTAGTGGCGGTGCAGTCGCTAACGCCGAGGCCGAAGCGCGCGGCCTTAGAAAGGTACACACAGTGTTTCCGCACGCCTTTAATTTCCGACGGGTCTAACCAACGTATGTATAGCAGCGCTCATGGGTTCACTCAAATTTCCGAGGTCTCATAGGCGCATGAGAGATGAGAGATGAGAGATGAGAGACGAGAGACGAGAGACGAGAGATGAGAGATGAGAGACGAGAGACGAGAGATGAGAGATGAGAGACGAGAGATGAGAGATGAGATACGAGATATGAGAGATGAGAGACGAGAGACGAGAGACGAGAGACGAGAGACGAGAGATGAGATATGAGAGACGAGAGACGAGAGATGAGATATGAGATATGAGAGACGAGAGACGAGAGATGAGAGACGAGAGATGAGATATGAGAGACGAGAGATGAGAGACGAGACGAGATATGAGAGACGAGAGACGAGAGATGAGAGATGAGAGATGAGTGTTGTTGCAAAGAACGAGAAAGTTGTTGTGGGCGTTTCCACTTTCTTTGTGGCGTGCTGGCAACCACAGTATAGGCGTGTTTGCGTGAAGGGGTGTGCAAGACAACGTACTTGGAGGATACCGCCGTGCCTGGGGGTATTCGGACAGAGTGGCTGCGCTTTCGTCGCTTGACAATTGATTTGCATTTTTTGTTTTTTCCGCACGAGGGTTGACGTGGAAACGGAACGTAGTGGTTGGCGGGAAGTCTAGGTACTGTTGTAAGAGAGATTACGAGAGATTCAGGATTCAGGATTTCCCTCTACTCTAATGTTTTGGTTTGATGCACCGGCTCTGCCGCCTGTAGTTTTCAAGTGTTCATGTTGATGTTGTGGTTGCTTTTTGTTTTTTGTGGTTCTGGTTGTCCTCTTTGCTGAATCTAGTCTCGTTGTCAATATGGGATGATGTCAATATGTGCTGTTGGTTTTGTTGCCCTTGATGGTATGTGTTGATTTTGTTGTCCTCGCTGTGCTGATGCCGTCCCTTCCCCCCTGCCGTTGCCGGCTCCTCTCGCCCTTGGCGTTCTACCTTTCCCAGGTTTTGCTTTCGAAAAATTCTGCTGTCCTGGAGGCGGCGGAACACCAGGAGGGTCGAAAATCACGAATCATCACCACCCGCAGCGTTGTCAGGGGGTCCGTGACATGGCTCGTGATGTCTGCCTTCGCGGTATATGCCCTGGTTTCCGTTGTGGAAGAAGAGTTGGCGTTCCAGTTCGGCACTGCTCGAGTCACCCTGCTCATCACCCAGGTAACCAACCCACCACGGCGGGAAAGGCTGTGTGTGTGGCGTGTGGGGAATTAAACCGGTCGGATCGGATTGGACGAAATCGAGGGGGGAACATGTTGACGTTGTGTGCCCTGACGAGGGTGCTGGCTGGGTAGGGGTCAAAGCAGCGTGTTGTGTTTCGTGTCAAGAAGGCATTGCGAACGGCAACGACAGCACCAGACCGCCCTCCTTCTTTCTCTCTGAACCTCTCTCTGAACCCTCGGGTAGCCGTCGAATCGAATCGTTGCTACGTCATGGAACGAGGGGTGAGAGAGAGACTGGTCGGGCCGCCTGAGCTGTTATATTTAGTAGCGTATCCCTCCTCCTCAAAACTCAAATAATTCGTGCGTACCTGTCTTAGGTGTGGCTAGCATACGCGAGTCTCCAGGGTGCTCTCAGCGGCCTCGGCCAGGTGGCGAGGTTAAGGTCTACCGCAGCAAGGATGCAGGCGATCGCCCTGGCAAGGCCTGAAAACGGGTAAGTTGAACATGTGTTTCTGGTGCAATACAGGAGCTACGATGCAGAGGCTGTGTAGGTGCGAGCGTTGTAGGTGTTTTTGTACTCCAAGGATGCGGGCTAGTGTCGGCTGGAGTGAAGCCAAGCGTAGTATTCCCGGTTGGTTGTCGTTTTCTGCTTTGGGCGTTTACCTTCGAGCACTGGCGAGTGTTGGGGTTGGTGTTGAACCAAATGCCTTGACCCGTTGGGTGGTGAGCTCGCGGCACGATACCCAGACTTGGGCCCATCGCTGAAATACGTGTCATGCTTGCAACTCTCCACGCGATCTCTGACGAAATCGCCGACACGAGATGGGTCGACACAGCAGTTGACGAATGGGTGAACAATGCTTGAAGTACATGCATACAATTCCTTCCCTTCCGTCCTCACAGTCGCAGTCCGCGACTCTTGACCCCACCGTTAAGCTGTCTTGGTGTCTTGTCTTTGCTGTTGTGCCAATCGCGCTGTTCCGACAACAGTTGGTATCGCGCGCGCCCCTGTCTCTCTCTGGACTGTTTTCCTTCTTTTTTTTTTTCGTGTGCGTTTTTATTTTCCTGTCAGTTTCATTCTCTCCAAACACCCCCACGACTCCCCTATAACCCTCCCCCCTTGCTCGTGGCGGCAAAACCAAACAGCGGCGGTGGAAAAGAGACCGGGCTAGGAACGGAGGGGGGCTGGTCTAACGATGGCCCCGAAGCGGCTGATGGGCTGAGGCTACAGGGTGTTTCCTTCACGCCCAGCGGCAGAACTCGGCAGGCCCTCTCTTCCGTCGACCTGCATGCTCCGGCAGGGTCGGTGGTGGCGGTGCTCGGCGGGGCGGGGGCGGGGAAGGTGGGCCTTGTAAACCATTCGGTATACGGGTGCACACCTGTAGTTGGTGATGCTCATGTTTGGGACTCGTGTGCTGAAGGCTTACTCGTGTCTCGTGACACTTGCCTCGAGGGTGTCGACGTTCTTGACATCTACAATACCACATGTTCTTGACATCTACCACATGTTCTTGACGTTGTTGACGCGCTCAATATTCTCCTCATTCTGCACATTCTCGACGTTCTGGACATTGTTGACATTCTTGACAGTTTCCACACTCTTCATATTCTCGGCGTTCTCGAAATTCTTCACATTCTCCACGTTCTTCACATTCTCGCTCTTTTCGCTGCCTGGCGGCTGTGCGCGACGAACCCGTCTACTTTCGCTGTTTCAGACGGCGCTTCTCCAGCTTGCGTTGGGGTTGATGAAGGCGGACAAGGGAGAGGCCATGTTCCAAGGGCGGCCCCTGCAGGAGTGGGAGACTGGAGCTTATCGAGAACGGGTCGCCTGGCTCAGCCAGGCAAGTCTGCCTGCTGTTCATTTTGTTTTTGTGTCGATGTTGGGTTGTTTGCTGTAGCTGTTGCTACTTGGACAATTGACACGGTCTTCCATGTCAAAGCTGGATCTCCGTGTAATTCCGTAGTGGCACCCACCGCAACACCGATAGGTTACTCGGGGTATGCCATGATGATGATGATGATGATGATGATGATGGTGATGGTGATGGCGATGATGGTGATGGTACCTGTCGTTCGTCCTCCCCACGATACTCTCGGATGCTTGGAAGTTGAGACATGGACATGGAACACGGCTCGGGTAATCGCGTTTTCTCGTCTTGTCTTCGAGGCTTTAGTCCAGTGCTTGCAATCTGAATCTCTCTCTCAGCATACTCGGTAGCCTCACTCAACTCACTCAATAGAGTAGAAACCGATGAGTTACCCCCCATCCCTCCCCCACCCACCCCGGCTCCTGGCCACATGTACTGCTGTACAGGTATCCGGCCGTTTCGGCCTAACGGCGGGCGAGAACATCGGGGCTGGCGACCCGTCAGAGTTTTCTAACCGAGAGCTGTGGGCGAGAGCGGCAGGTCTTAGCGGCGCCAACACCGCGATAGAGTCCTTGCCGCTGGGGTACGATACTCTGCTAGAGGATGGGGGAGGGCCGGCGGCGGCGGCAGCGGGGGGTGGGGGGTGAGTGTACCGGATCGCCTGGTGGTGGAATCGTTTAAGGGGGAGGGGGGGGGGGTTCAGTGGGGTCAATGTAAACCGTTCGCCGTGAATTTTCCGTCAGAGTCGGCGTCACCACGGTGGAAGCGCCAGTAACATGTGTGTACTATAGTAGTCATGGTCCTGAGGGAAATTTGTTCGGTTTGCACCCCTAAGACGCCCGTTGTACCTTGTTTTACCTCGTTCTACCTAGTTCCCCGTGTGTACATCTGATATCGTTCTGTACCCGCCCAAGTCGCACCTCGTCGTCACATGGCTCTTTGAAAGAGGCCAGGACGAAGTGAGAGGTTACCGAATGGTACCATGTGGCATCACGCGATCAGGTTTATTTGGCAGTGTAGGGGGTGCGCCAGGCTTGCCGATTCTCGTGACGGTTTTGACGGTCTTGCAGGGTCGAGTTGGTTCGACCAGGTCATCCCAACCCGCAAGTCAACATGAGATGGACACAATCCTCAAATGCTGGTTGAAGAGGCTATAATACCATGGAAGAATAGCACGGTATGGCATGCATGTCCTACGATGGTTTAATATGTGTCTTCAGGACCTCACATTTGCATTTGAATGTCTAACCTCCTCCCCTCTCCCCTCTCCCTCCGCTTGGCGTGGCAGGTCTGGACTGTCTGAAGGGGAATGGCAGCGGTTGCAGCTGGCGCGTTTCTTGATGCGAGCCGATGTAGCCAAGCTGTTGTTGCTCGATGAACCTTTCAAAGGGGTCAGTCCTTCCGAAGCCTCTAGAATGCTGGCGGCGCTGGGTGCGCAAGCCCGAGCAACTGGCCAGGTGAGGCAGGCACCCGGGCGGCAGGCGGCTACACTAGCGATGGTGGCGCTCATAAACAATTGTTAGAAATGAGGATCATGTTGTTGTTGTTGTTGTTGTTGTTGTTGTTGTTGTAAATAGTTGTTGCTGTGGCCTTCGCATGAAGAATTGTTCTGTGCTCTTCTTGCAACGGAACCTTGAAATATTGGCACATCATGTCTAACTCATGCGCGTTCAGTCTGATCTGTTGCACGATGTATTAACGGGATGCTTTTTTTTTGGGACTGCTCTTGCTGTGGTTCTAGAGCAACTAACTGCGGTTTATTGACGACAGGAATAAAGCACATACGGGGCTGCGATCACCTTGCAGACGGGGGCGGTGTCAAGGGGCGTTGAGATATCGCAGAAGATAGATCGAGTCGGTTTTCGTGGTCGTGTACTTGTCGTACACATACCAAGCAGAAAAACACGCCTGGTGCGCTACTGTTTGGAACTAAAAAACAGGAGAACCAAACCACGTCTTCGACCTCGTGCCAAGTCATATCCAACACCTCCGTGGATGATCTCGCTCCCCTCTATATCGCTTACATTACACCCCATCGTACATTGTGTTTTTTCTGTGGTGGCAGGTTGTGGTGGTGGCGAGCCAGGATCTTTCCCTTGGGAGATGGGCCGACGCCACCGTGTATTTGGAGGACGGGAGCGTGTCGGAGTCGGGTCGGTGGGATGACTTGCTGGCAAGCGGTGGCCCCTTTGCGACGGCCGTTCGAGAGCACGACGCCTTCTAACCTAACCTAACCTAACGTAGCCTAATGTAACCCTTAGGGAGTGTGGAGTTTGACCTAATCAAATGCTGTTGTTTTGGTCTTGCCAAACGCTTGGGTGTGGAGTTGTAGATGAGGGGAGCGCGCTCGGCGGTGTAATTCGCAAGAGTTATGGTGGCGGCAAGGGCCTTGTTTGTTTCTTGTTTGGTTCTGCTTGTCCTGCAGCAGCTTGCACGGCTTCACGCAGGCAGCCATAACGAGTCGTTTGTTGGCATGCACCGACGGCAGCATACCTTCGTCTTGGTTGGAGACACAAGAATACTGGAGGTGTGTGTGGTGCCTGTTCGTCTTGACCGACGGTAGTCTTGGAATCCCCTCTTTGTTGCTGTGCAAACAAACAGAAACATTGGCATTTGGTGTGTCGGTTGCTTTCCGTATCGCTTGTCCCGAAGTTTCTATATGCGGCATGTAGCCTGTAAGTTAGAGCTGGTGCGTGCTTGGAGCCAGTGAAAGCACCGAAAGAGCGTCGAACCGAAAAGCATACACACAAGCAAACAAGGACCACGCGCCATGTCTCGTCCTAACGCCAATGAACCAGCCCATTGAACAAAACGGTAAGGCATGTTTTGCAACAACCTTTCCGGCGTTCAACCTCTTGTCCGTGAGTGCCTCCCCCACTCCCCTGAGTGTTGTAGCAGCCTTTAGAACATACAGCAATTTCGAGAGTGAGAGAGCGAGAGAGAGAGGGGGGTTTGGTTCATTCACCCTCAGTGAAAACCCCCTCTTGAAGGTGGGGACGTTCTTTAAACCGGGCAGCGGGGGGCGAGCAAACGCCTGGTGGTGTGTCAATGGAAAACCCATCCCTCCACGAGTTTTTTTTCTACCTCCCGACATTCAATGTCCAGTCCTCAATACACAACCATGGGTTAATTGTCCATGAGGCATCGAGACCCCCTGAGACCACCGCGATCATCGATAGCGGGGTCTTGCTCTGCTACATGAGGGCGCGATGCTCGCAGCGGCGAGGAGGTCTTGACCCTGAACGCTGAAGCGGCATCAGCGCACGAGCAATGAGCGTTGGCTTCACCCTACACGACGGTGTCGCACAAATCATTCTTCAATCGCGTGAAATCCTTTCGGGTTAACTCAGAAGGGACCATGGCCCCGATCTCGGCTGTGAAAACACAAAATGCAAAACAAAACTTCTTGGTGGGAGTTTCCCAAGTAAAAAAAGGGCTGCCATGCCCCACCGGGATTTAATTTCACAACGACTCTTTAAATCACAACGACAAACAGCACGAGCGACAAGGCCTTGTACCAGCACCTCACCTTGTCCATTGGCAGGCGGCCAACGCAGGATGATTTGTTCACCAAACTCAACAGAGATACATAGTACCCCCGTTTCCGGAAAGTCTATCTGGATAGCACACACAGAAAACGAAGGACTCGACGCACAAGCAGTCTTCGTCTTCCAGGTGGACAAATCATAATCACCCGGGGTTCTCTCATTTACAGCGACCCTTTGCCACGGGAAGGGCCATACTCTAAGTATAGTTTGACTATTTATCCAAACGACGAGTCCCGCCACATGCACCAGGAGGGAGCATCAAATCGCCCCTTTTCCTGTACTCAACATCAAAAGCGAACACGGCATCTCTTCAGACTACCTGCATCGGCAGGACGAATCATAAATCGATCCATCTCACAAGTTTGAGCGACAAGAAACAAGCCACAGCTAACCTTTGGGGTCACTCACTCCCTTCGACGATCCGCATCACTATAACACTATAATAGTACTATAACAGTAGAGGCAGCGTGGATGATCTTGAGGAGAGAAGACCAAAGCATTTCAACAATCTTAACCTTACGTAACAAATCTCCAAGAAAGTGTAGATAGACGACATGGACACGACAAAACACGTTCAAACACCTATCTTCCGGACAAGCTGGACAACTCACCCAAACCAACGAGAGAGACCAAACACGCACACATAACACTACGCATACAACTCGCTCGGTCGTTTTGCCTAATAGGCCTGCTTGTGGACGGAGAACACAGGACACTACACCGGCTCACTGTGAATGGCTAATGACTTTGCACTTTGGGTGCCACGCCACACCCCCCTCTTGGCGATCTAACCCCTTCTTGGTGATGATCTAATCGTGACTGCGACACAGCCGACCGCATCGCGAGAACCGAAAGGTATCTGCGATGCCAAAGGGTTTGGGTCGCCATACAAGGCATACCGACCCTCTCACCACACCGATCCCACGAGGGCCGCGTCGATTAGCACAAGGCACATCAAGTGAAACGAACGGATCGCATTGCCTCCCACCACCGAATCTGCACGCCAGCGTTGCTATGTTTTACAAGGCCCGATCACCGTCGACCGTCCCCCACCACTCAGTCATGCCAGGAGAGAATTTGTCTATCTGCCGGCTCAACCACCCTCTCCAGGCATCGCCGGTCCATATCTTGCCCTTGAGCCCCCACGCCAGGGCTAGTGTGTGGCGGAGAGCGGGGCGCTGAGACGAACAACGGCGGCGGAACCCTAGCCATCGGTGGAGGGGAAGGCGGTGAACTCGCAGCAGAGCTACCCCCACTGTTGTTGCTGCTGCTAGCGTACCCTCCCACCAACGCCCTGCTGCTTTGACCGGAGTTGCCTTGACTGCTGAACGTTTGTCGTTTCGAAGGGTTAGGCTTGCCTCCTCCTCCTCCTCCTCCTCCTCCTACAGGAGGGGAACTTCGGCCAGTACCGCTGAACGATCCTCCCCTAGAGTCTACCAGGCGGCTGTCGTAGAACCCGCCAGAGGGGGACGGACGGGATCCACCTGCACTGTACTGCTTTTGCCGGACGTTCCGCGACACCCCCCCTGCTACCGCCGTTGAGCAAGAAGATGCACCGACTCCGGCCCCCCTAGGCGGCAGGCTAGAAAAAGACGACCTCGCACTACTGGTAGTGCTGGCAGCCCCTACCACACCGCCACCAGCACCGCTGCTATTGCTGCCACTACTACTGCCGCTGGCACTACGTGTACTGCTACTACTACTACCGCCTACATCCCTAGAAGCGGAGTGGTGGGAAGGATCTCGCGGCGGGCCACCGGGGCGATGGTCGGAGCCAAGGCTCCGGGTGGAGGGCGATCGCGGCTGCTGCGGCTGTGGCTTCTCCACACGGGGGGTCGAGAGCACCACGCGGTGGTACGTCTGGACAGGAGCTGCGGGCGCGAGCGGTGCAACGCAGAGGGCAAAGCAACGTACCCATGGGGGTCACGGTTGGGTTGTTCTTGTATACCTTGAGTTCGGCTGTGTCGATCAGCTGGGGACAAGGGGCACAATTTCTCGCGAACATGCTGTCACGTGTGTTGGCCGTCACATCTGTTCGCCACGTGAATCAACCGACGGGCTGAACGGCAACGCGCCCGCCATCGACCACCTGGCACAACAACTCATCGCCGAAAACCATCCCATCACACAGCATCTAAAAGCACAACACGTACAGCATCCACGGATCACAGTGGTCATCTTCGATTGTACTCACCACCGTCCACAAGCTTGACCAGAATATGCAGAGGTTCTCTCCCTGTGTCTACCAATGCAGGGTGAACGGCGGGCGGAGGCGGCGGCGGTGCCGGCCTGGACGCAAGCGGCGCCCTCGACGACGATGACGCCGATGATGACGATGATGGGGGTTTGGAGGTCGGGCGGGAGTTGGCGCTCGGTCTGGCGGAGACGGCCGCTTTGGGCGGCTTCGGAGAAGGGGCAAGCTTCGGCGGCTTCGGCCTGGGCGAGGGGAGGAGCTTTGCAGACGGCTTGGAGGCGGAGGAGACCTTCGGGGACGGCTTGCTCGATGACGATAGCCTAGAAGAAGACTGCTTGGAAGAAGGGCTACTGCTGTCGGCGTACTTGGACGGCTCTTGTTGAGGCTGCTGAAGGGGGGGGGGGGAAGGACTCTCGGGTTAGTTGGGAGACACAGCGAGCCCAACGCTCGGTACTGCTCCGATTCGAGATACAGAAATGATGTGGTTGTGAAAACCTATCGGTGATGTGCGGCGCTGTGCGGCGCTGCGTGGGACGGACAGCATTGGGCAAAGGAAGCGGCAGCCTTTCCAACAAACGCCCGGCGAAAAGAGAAGGCCTTGTACGATGCCGCACCAGGTGCACACGCCTATCGTTCGCCATGATCAGCGGCGTCGTCACCCCAACAATTTCCTGCGGCCGAGCAAGCACACCTCAGGACGACCACTTCCCAATCTTCCGTGTGACACCAGTAGGGGCAGCTAGGAGTTTTGCTGTGCTCTTTGTCGTCGACAGGCTGGCAGCCAACGGCCAGCGCCTCCACCACCCAAAAACACGCAGAGCACATGGTCAAACTATTATACAAATCGAAGAAGTTTACGCTGAACGGCCAACGTTGGTGCCGAGGGTTCCAAGGCATCAAACACGCAACAAGCTTACCCCTGCCGCCAGAGAGGTGGCGCACTTACCGATGATCGAGCGGATCTCGATGCTCTCCCTCGCGAAGACCCGAGGGCGCACTTGTCGAGATGTGGCGCGTAGCGGGCGGCACCAACGGCTCGGTTACAGCTGGGGCACGTGATACTTGTGGAAGGCTCTCTGGGCGGGATGCGCCCGTAGACGTCCCCGCCTGCGACTGACTTGGGCGGCGGGTTGTTGTGCTCCGCCCAAAGCCGCTCCTTGGTTAATACCCCGGTGTGCAGTTCTCGGTGCAACTGCGAGGATGCAAAGGGTCAAGGGACGAAGACAAAGAGACAGACAAAAAGGGTGCGTAAGGTTGTGTTTATTTCAATTTGCGTCGACCGCGCTGTACCGGCTGAACAACCAGAAGACGTCAGTATCACGCGCGGAAAACAAAGCGGTTTGTGCTAGCGTCGACGTTTCATTGCATCCTGGACCCAGTTGCACACGGGGTGCGGTGCAGGAGTTCTTTGTCTTTGCAAGAAACAGAAGAGGCTAGCTACCGCAGTCAGGCCAGCAGAAACATCGCAGAAAGTGGCACGGCGTGTGCCCCGCGAAGCCCGTTGCCACGACGTGTGCCCTACGAAACAACGCCACCAGCGTGCCCGAAATGTCACCTCAACTTCTGCCGGAACAAGCCTCCCCATTGACGTTCACGTTCAGATTCGGCGATTCTCATTTATTTCGACAGAGTGAAGGTGCGCGAACAGGCCCAGTGGCGCTCGAGTAGAGAGTTATCCTGTCGACCTGAAACTTGGCCTGGCCTAGCAGCATGACCTTTGCAGGACGTAATATACTGTAGCAAAAGACAAACCTTGCTTTTATGGATACCAGTGTTGTATACAACACTCGCCTCGAAAACCACGTCCCTGCAGAGGGAGAGCTCGAAAGCAGAGTAGATAGTATCAGCCTCCTGCCGCAGGTCGATCGGGTCCTGTAGCGGTTTGTTGTACATGCCAGCATGGAGTACGGAATGCGTATACATAGCGGTATGATACGCAATGCAGAGTTAGCCGCACGTCTGAAAGATAAATCACACTGCCATCCAATGACTAATCATCCAATCGAATCGGACATCTCAAAAGACGTCAAGAGTGTTTCCCCCGTTGTCAAAACACAGCAGCAGCAACAACAGCAAAGAGCAGTACCAGTGGCAAAATGGTAGCCTACCAGCCCCACGTGCTGAACAAGAGCATCGGCGCTCTTGTGTTTGGGTTGTACCACTGCTGTATGGTGCAACAGCAGTAGTGGTGATTTGACTCACTCTCAGTTAAATTGCGGAACCACGCGCATCACGAGGTCTGTAAAAGCGAATATCTTCAAGTTGGGATTCTCGACGTCATCACGTTCGGAATGGTTCATTTTCCGGAAAACGGATCGGATCCATGCAGCAGTACGCGTGTCGACTTCTCTGCCCACCCACTACTCCAACCCGTGTGATCAGCACGACTGCTGCACGCGAACGACAGGTAGACCTAGCGCGGAGCACAGAGCGCAACATAGAACTACACTCAGCAGACGAGGGCAATGGCACAACAATCAAGGCCGGTCCCTGCGGAAAAAAGGTCCGAAACTGAGCGACCAAAGTCCATGGCGGAGGAACGTCCTCACCAACGCCACAGAGACGCTTGGATGTTGACGCTGTGCTCCCACAACATGCGTTGCACAGGGGACTGCTGTGTGAAATTATCTACGCTTACATCAGGTAATGCCGCATACTTCATCTGATACAGAAGATGCCAAGACCCCGGGCGGGTGATAATATTTTGGTTATTTTTTTTTCGGTGTGCTATCTTTTACTGTCGCCGTGTGACTCGATCTGAGAATCCAGCAGCTTGGTTGGGGTAATGGCTCATGTTGTTGGCCGTACAATGTAAAAGTACCTGCCACGGGGTGTGGCAAAGTGCGGGGCGTGTTCTCGTGTGTTGTATGATATCTACATGAACGGTTCGTGTACACGTTGTACACGCGACTGACACCGAACACCTGTGTGATACAAGTACCAAACACAAACACACCGTGCGTGATCGCAAACAGTTGCATGATGATGATGGTGATGCGTAGGGACACGGGCTGACACGGGCTGACTCTTTTTTACACTGTGTTTTCGGAATCGACGACCAAGCAAAGACAAACCGTGCACCAGCATGTCATGTTTAACCCCTACTTCAGCCTCCAGGGAGCGCCAATTACGTCCCTAACTTGTGCTTGTGTGCACGTTGTGCCGACCGCACGGTCTCTCACCGCAGTAGACTACTGTGTACTGCGGTCTGTATTTACGCGATGGTTCGAAGAAGAAATACACTCCAGCAGTAAACTAACCGATCCATCGGGAGGATGCAGTAGCCAATCTTCCACTTCTCTGGGACGCTTGAGGGAAGGAGGAGGCATCCGCCCGTGCTTCATGACGCCTCTTCCATTTTCTTCGTTAGCAGCAGCAGCAGTAGCAGCAGATCCGTTGCTATTGCTCTCGCTGTTGATGTTGCAGGCTGCAGCCCCTTCTGCTGCTGGTGTCTCTGGCGTAGCTGCGGACGTCACATTGCTCTCCGCTTGCGGCTGCTGAGAGACAGCACTGCCGCTTGCCTGGCTCTCTTTCTTGACTTCCATCAGGGTGAGGATAGGACTAGAATCAATAAGCAGACAGGCCTAGAGATTGGCCCTGAGCAGCTCTCTCCGTGTGCGTCTCTCCACCTATCTATGTGTGTGTGCCCTGTCCTGCCGCTGCAACATGCCCCCGCTGCCCGCGCCGCTCAAAGTGTGCCCCCATCCATACGGTTTGCGTGCCCCCCTGGCGAAAAGTAACGGCTCCTTTTCCCCGAACGAAGAGCAGAGCGAGAGCTGTTGTCGATAGGCGTGCGCCTACCAGCAGAGACCAGCGGGGGCCTAACGTGCTCGAGGCGGTACCGCAATTTCTATGCGGAATGAAGCAGGCTTTCGTGAGCATCGTTAGCAGCTACGTGGGGTACTGTGTAGCATCCGTCCTTCGCCACCATGGATATCATGTTGTTGGATCCGTTCGCGCGCAAGGTGGGTTAAATACTTCGCCTTTGAAACTTTCCGCTTTGAAATCAATACAACCAGGGCCTGCACATGGCACGCGCTCGAGTATCCGCAAAGAGGAGATGTCGTCCCCACTCCGGGGCGTGGATCCAGAGCAATCGTGTGAAGCACCGATTCTCATGAGATTGCATCGTTCCACCCTACTGTAGGTAGACGCGTGTAGACTACACTATATAGCAGTGGGTACATGGCAGCTCTATGTTGAAAGTATAGTCGTGAGTGCATACAATACACGATCCAGGACCTCCTAAACACCGTTGGCATGCAATCGCGTCATGCTGTTCGGCGCAAGAAACAGATACGGAAGATATCGGGCCCTTAGTATCCAAGACAGTGGACGTGGACGACGAGACAGGGACCACGCAGCTAGCTCTCCTCTGCGACGTCGTAGTGTTGTGCCTCCTCGAGGATATACGAGGGGCGGAGGCCGTGCTCTCGGCCTTGGCCTTGCAAGCGTCGCAAGAAAACGAACCCGGCGGACCGAGTCATCTGCTGGTGCTGTCCACGACCATGACCTGGGCGAAGACCAAGCCAATAACTCAATCGTCCGCAACACTCACGTCTCCGTCAAGGCTAACTTCCTCATCGTCGCCTTCGCTCTTTCGCCCGGTCTCGGTGATGGCAATGGATAATCGCTCCCCCCGAGGGGGCGGAGCAAGCGCTGGGGGGCTTCCACGCGCGTCCTCGGCAATGTCACGATTTTCGCCATCACGGGACGGCCCCCGACCGCTAGGAACCGCGGGCTCCAAGAACTCGGGCCGAGCTGGCCACGCTTCTGGCTTGTCGCGACGACGACACCAAGCCACCGCCGAGCCAGCCATGACAGAGGACGACTACCTCTCGCGGCAGCCATCCACGGGGTACCTCGAGCACAAGCGTCTGGAGGTTGCCGCGCTTCATCTACAATCCTCGAGCCTCGATACGTGTGTGGTTGGGGCCGGGGTGCCGTACGGCTTGGGAGAGGGCGCCCTCCTTCTGCGGGTGTTCCGGGAGGCGTGGCGAGCTCGCGGCCTGCCGGTCGTCCTGCCGACGTGCACCGCAGGCGACAACCGTCTGGCGCTTATTCACGTTGCAGACCTGAGCATTGCCGTTGGAAATCTTCTCCGGCCCGTTGAGCCCAATGGGCTGCCCTGCCCTTTCCCTAAGCCGTACATCCTGGCTGTGGAGGGGAATGGAGCGCAGTGCACGGCCAAGGAAATGGTTGAGGCCATCGGGAGAGGCTTTGGTGGGAGCGGAGAGACCCAACCTATGGGAGAAGCGGAGCTGGAGGAAGTTCTGGTCGAGAACCTGGAGGCTCTGTCTTTGCTCATAAACATCCGGTTTTCGAACGAAGGCGGCGTGCTCTCGGGCATGGTAGCAGATGGTGAGCCTCTACAAAACCATTGCTGTGAATCTTTTGAGTACCCCTTGCGTCGTAGGGCACGTCGTAGTTGGCCCTTGCGCTCTACATGCTGGTTTGAGCATTGACCGCTGAACTACGTACGTGCTGGTGGCAAACATCACGAAGGGCACATCGCCGTTTCGATGACAAATATTACACTTGGTGACACCGCATTGAAAATACGTCTGCATATCCAGAGTGGAATACTAAATTCTCCTGTTGCCCTATTCCCTGAACTTGTTCCACCTCTCAGGGACAATGAACCCTGTCACTTGGTCCACAGGATTCACGGGCTCAGCGAAACTGTTGGCGGAAGAGTTTCTTGCGAGCAGATCGCTTCAGCCGATAAAGGCTGTTGTTCTCGGCCCTCCCGGAGGGAGACAAGACCATGTTTGTCAGGAGGTAAGGTCTGGCCTCGCTTCGTCTACGGTAGTCCATCTCAGCTTATCCCGCGATTTCCTACAAGAGAAGAGCCGGCTTCATGACGTCGTGCATACACCACCTCATCACGTCGCTGTCGTGAGCCGCACAACAGAGGCATAGTGAGCCTAAGCCCTTGCTTCCCTTTCGACTTCAAGCAGACGTAGACATGACCGCACAGGGCACGCATGCGAGCATCGATCGAGCGTCGCCAGTACCTCGTTTTTTTCGAAACCATTCCTTCTAGATTTCCCAGCGGTTTGGGATCTTGCTCTTGGACGCCAAGAGAGCCGTGGATGGGGTATTTGAAGCGCTAGGGAAGCACCTGCCCCCGCCCGTTTCGCCAGAAGAGAAAGCGCCACCTGTGGCAAAGGGGAAGAAGGCCAAGGACACAAAGAAAGGTGATTTTGCCCGAGTTCCTGCCCTGAAACAAACATCGATGGCAGAAACCGCGGTATCTTCACTGGAAGACCGCTTCTATTCCTGGGTAGACAAGCGTGCTCTCCTCACAGCTAGAAATAGTGTTTTCAGGTTTCACAGCTTGAGCATGGTGTTTCCTTGCGCTCCGCTACCCTGCCGATACTCTAGGAAGCAGCAAAATTTCACCCGGTACAGTAGACTTTGGCGCTGTGTAAGATCCTTGGTTCTTGCTACCCAGGTGAAGTCAGTCACCTCAATCGCCAGAATCAGAGAGCAAAAGTTGGTGTGGTTTTCCATTCGTGCATGCTCCACTCCTCTGAAGGGGCTGCCAAGGCAGAACCATCACCGGAAGCACAGGCGGCCCTGGAGGCACTTCCTCCCAAGGAGCGTCTTCTGGCCGACGTCCAGGCAGCTTTCGAAGCAGCCGACATGCCCATGTCCGAGTACACTGCCCTTGATGCTGGCGGCTTGGCCCGTGTACTGTCGCCGTCTATCATCGCTAGGGCGGCCCGCCTTGTGCTGGAAGAAAAGAGATTGCAATGGACATGCAGGCGAGTTGTCGTCGTCGTCGCTGTCGTTCGTTGCGTGATTCATGTTTCGCTCGGGCTACGTGTCTCGTGCCCACAAAACGTGTTGCTGCACTTGTTGGGGGTACCGCCGTTGCGATGGCTCTAAAGTAGCACGGTAGGACGACTTTGCTCCTCTGTGACATCTAGCTCCGGAGAGGTACACAAGTCCGGCCAGAAGTCCGCTTCTTTGACCCAACCTCCGAGAAACCGGCAGAACAAATAGCCTCGAAGGACGACGTGAGCCACCGATAGTGACGCGGAGGTCATCGACGGATTGGTTGACTATGCACCGGGTCAAGAACCATGTGAATACAAACACAAGTGGGATAAAAGTACCCGTACCGGAGCGCGGCCGCTAAAGCAGTGCGGGCCTACCTAAGCACCCTAAATGACAGCTTCAAGCCTCTGGGAAACGAATACACACTGTCGTCCGCTGTTTCTCCACCATTGCAGCGGGTACATCCTGTGCGATATTCCTTCCCACGGAGACGTTGCACCCGATATCTTCGCGGATCAAGCGCTTGGACCATCACCACCGCGACCATCGCCAACGATCCCAGCCGGAGATTCAAGAGCGGGAGTAGGGGGAACCCCCGGCAGCCCGAAGTCACGGGGGGGAGGGGTGGAGGGGCGTGCTGGAAGTGACAGTCCGCTAGCGGCCATGGTTCCTACTTCTGACGCCCAGCCCGAAGAGGTTGTTGGAGGGTTTCGGCCCACGCACGTGGTATACTTGGCCGCTTCTCTGGAGTACATCGTGGCCCAGCAAGGGCGGGAGGTCGGAGCTGGCACGGCAACAGATACAGGGGGAGGAAAGGAGGCCGAGGCCAAGCTCAGAGGTGATATCGAGCGTTTCTTCGCCCAAGAGCAGCAGGCCGAACAGCCCCAAACAACGGGTGGTGGTACCATGCCGATCGGCACCGCGTCTTCCCCGGGAGGGCAAAAACGAACTGGTGACAATGGGTCTAGCAACGCAATAGACAACGCCGGGGGGGGGACGGCGGAAACGGCAGCAGACGAAAACGGCTACAGAGATACCGGGGAGGAGCAAGGCTGGATACCGGCCACAGCCAGGGCACTGCAGCATCGCTTCTTGATCAAAGCTCAGGCGGTGGACGTCGAGGCAGTGGAAACAGACGGAGATGTGTCCGGGGTGGTCGACGCGGTTCACGATCACCTATGCGGGGCAGAGACTCCCGGGTTTGTGTGGATGCTTCGCGGGGATAGTGTTGATGTTTACGTTGAGGAAGGGGAACACGCAGATCGCAACATGACCCACAAGAAGCAGGCGGATGGCGGAGAAGCCGGGGCTAACGGCGAGGAAGAAGCCAACGCTGCAGGTGTGTACAGTAATAATGTGTCATACGTAGACCGACTCTGAAATGTCCACGAGGCGGTAGATTGCGTTGAGTTTGGAGAGTAATGCCTTGCACAATATGCGATCTAACCGGTGGCAATATCGTTTCTCGTTGACTTTGGCTGGGGTTTGCAAGGAACGTTCTCCTGCGTATTTTCCCATGTATGAAAATATTTGTCCCATCAATGCTGCACACCTGGAGCGTGACACAATAATACCTGACGAACTCGAAATTCTGCGTCAGGGTTCACGTTCTGTCCAAGGTGTGCCACACACAGATGACAACGGGACGACATAGTAAATCGTAAATACACTCTCCACATCTTGTGTCTGAAACTTTTCTTCATCGTGACTGAGCTACACGGTTCTGAACGGGAGCACACGCTCTCCCTTTTTGTTTCGTACTCAACACGTGCCATGGTGGATCACCAGACGGTGGCATCGACACCGACACAACACGGAGCGCAGAGCCCGCAGCGGCAAGGAACGACAGCAACCCTGAATGGTCCGACGATCTCAACCTCTCGGAAGTTTTGGCAAAGCTGACGGCCAGAGACGCCAAAGAAGTGGAGATGAGGACAAGACGGCACCGGAACTTCCTTACGGAAGGGGTGGTACCGCAGGTCGCCGCGGGGCTTGTGGCGGCCGCGGAGGCTCAGCCGGAAAACGTGTTCGAGTTCTTGGCAAATTACCTCATCAGGTCAGTCAATTCTAGGAGCGTGATCGTCTGAGGCCCTATTCTTTCGGTGGGGGTACTGGGTAGCGTGGGTAGGGAGGGGGATTGGTCTACTCCGTCAAACTTCACCGCCATATCTCTTAATGGGGCTACTGTACCATGTACCAGCTCGGTTACCATTGAACGGTTCTCTGTTGCACGGCACACAACCACAAAAGATTGAAACTACATGTAGAGATAGTCTGTGGGGGATTTAGGTGGTTTGGCTCAGTCCAATTCTCCCAGGTCGGGGTCACTGACAAGGTTCAGTTATTCACAAAACACAACATGAACACCACGTGACTTCTCTCGCATCCCTCGTTGAATGCGTACGAAAACAACCCGCGTGGCATAATTTTTCGTTCGGTCTGTTTGACTTTAACGCCGCAAGGCAAGCACAACTTTGACAGAAACACCACACGTCTCTGAAAACAAGATTGCTTGTGTTTTGCGTTCCGACGCAGCTAGACTGCATTGTCAGGACTTGTTGTGAGTCTCAGCGCGCCTTGGGGTGTTGTTGAACCGCCGCCGTCCTATGTATTTCTAACCCACAAGGTCCTAACTGTCTGTGTGTGCTGCTCTGTTTACATAATGTGATACCTTACAGAGCTGGGCAAGCGCTACAAAGAAAAGCGGAGGAAGAGGCGGCCAGTAAGTACCAGGCCGGACTGGCTTTGTTGGAGGAGTTGGAGGCAAACGATAACAAGCGCACCGCGGCGGTCTATCGATAACTTCTCTCACCATCTTACTTACTGGTTTCAGCCTGATCCTCCCGCTGTTTTCGTCATCCCTTGTACTGAGACTATGTAGACTTCACCGTCGATCACAGCTTCGGCTTACCCTATGGTATTGCCTTGTGTAGCGTTCCGATATGAGGTGACGCAGCTGGACTCCTCAAAGGTAAACGCCTAGGTTTGTATTTGAGTTTGAACACGAGAAAGCTAGAGCAGTCGATCCCCAAGTGCACTTGCGAACAAGCAGTTTCTACAGGTTTACTGGTAGATAGGAAGGAAACGCGAGATAGCATTAAACATGCGCTTCTGCTGGATCCCGCCACTCGACTTGTTCGCTGGAGGGTTTCGAGGTTACCCACTGATCCAATGGGTCGACCAGCCACGGTGACTGATTGGCTTGTTACACACTGGGGCTAAAATACTTTTGTCGTCTTCTATCATTGTGATAGAGTTCTGTACACAGAGTAGATGACATAAGATATCACACCCACCCCCTGAACAGTTTTTAATTTTCAAAGCTCGGTTACTCCACAGCAGAAAGCGTGGCCGGGCGGCGTTGGCACCGATAGCTTTCCGAAACAAACCTATCGTTTGACATCTTCGTCGTCGTGGACTAACATTATTAGCTGTGAATATTAATGATGCGGCATTATGTTACCTACTGCCGGTACATGCATTGCATAAGAACTAGGAGCACCCTCCATACCCCAGTAAGTTATTGTAGTAGCTGAATTGAAACCTCTCATTACATATCCATGAAGAAGTCGGTTTAGTCTACACACCAATACTTAATATGTGCTGCAAAAACTATCCATGGACGAACCCAGCAGTTCCGTTGTTGCCTCTGCTCTCTATTGTCAGGGACGATTACAAACAAACTCGAAACACGAGAGAGAGGTTCGAGAAGACAAGGCATGAACTCTCGAGAAAAAACTCACTCCCATCCCTCTGGCCCACCGCAGGCTTGAACACGTGTAACGAACGGCGACATCCGATGTGCGCTCAGCAACAACAAACACGACAAAAGAAAAATAGTCGTGGTTTCCGAACTGCTGCGGAGATACTTTTTTTTCTTCTCCCATCATATTGGACTCTATCGTCTGCCCCTCTGGCCCCCATCCTCCACTTCTACTAGCTACACGACCCGGTCGGGGTCACATAGAGGGGGGTGTTGTACCCCCTCCTGCGGTTCCTGCCTGAGATATTTTTATCTCGAGAAGGGTACAGCAATCCCTTCCCTCGCGACTTACGAAGTCGATTATGTAGTTTACTACCGGTATTTAACAACGAGCTTTGCAGCGCGTCGCTTCCAACTTAGACCAGGATTTACTGAGTGAGAAAAATAACTCACTTTGCCGGGACTCGACCCCACGACCTGGTCCTTAGTAGGCTGCGAGGGTACTCACTAGACCACCGTGTAACAACCTGACCGTGTGGAGATACTGTGAGTTGGTGGAGACCTTGTTTCTTTTCTGGTGTGAAGTGGCAACAAAAAGAAGAACACGACTATCTGTGTAGACTAGAAGCACGACGGACGAACTATTATCTCAATGCGCTTGCCGTCGCGATAGATGCGCCGCTACCGCTACACGAACGAGCAGACTGTTGTTAAACCTGACTATGTACGATGACCGTACGACCATTGCAGCACACGAGCACAACAGCAGCAACCGCAGCAGCAGCCGCATGTCTGTGTACAATGAAACGCAAAAAAAAATAAAAAAGGATGTGGCGCGCAGCACGCAGGACCCTATTTCGCTGTTCAACCGGCCCGTTTCCACGGCGAAACAGGAAAGGAACAGTCAAGGCCGACTCTTGCCGGCCACAGGAGGTGGAAGCTGCTCAAACTCGGGGACGGCTCATGGTTTGCGATTCCACACCGAACCATACTCGAGGCGCCATGAGATTTGCACTGTATGTAGTTCGAGATCAGCATTTTAGACCGAGTCGGGGCATGCGAATGAAACTTGCACGGATATTGAACGATGAGACTGAAGCTAAAGCTCCAGAACTACTAACTTTAGCCTCTCAAGTTCACCGCCCATCTGACCCGCAATGGCCTAACCGGTTAGAAAACGGTTGTTTCGCAACCTTGACGATACAGTGGAGGGCCCTCAATAACGCCGGCATGTGCCCGGGGTGTGGACCGGCGCTATGAATTCAGAGGGACCGGCGCTATTCAAGTTGCAGAATGACTTGGTGATTCGGTCTGTACCCAGCAATTTCAGCGGCGCTATACGGGGCCACCGGCGCTAACCAACCGGCGTTATCGATACCCCCCCGCTGTGCTTGCGAGTACTTCCGTGCGACCAGAGGACCCACAGCGCGATCGAGACAACATTAAATGAACAGCTTCAAGATTTTTCCAACGTAGACTATTGCTTTCTGTTCCCGCACCAGCAAGCAACCTTTCAAGATAGGACCCAAACATCGCATGCCGAGTAAATGTCGGCGACGGAAGCAGAAGAAAGGAAAGAGGGCACGTGCTCCGCGCTGCGCTGATGACGCCAGGGAGGTGTGGCGCACCAAACCCATACACCGCAACGCCAAACCATCCCTTCGTTGCACACAAAATCGTCCTGAAGGATGTGGGAAAGAAAACGGAACCCAATGCCGAGGCACGACATTTGTCTACCTCCTCAGATCCCAAACCTCCTTTGACACGAACAGTAAACGACCGTTTGTTGACCAATTTGGTTCCCTTCCATAATGTACGGCGGGAACAAGCATACCGCGTGGTAACGCCAGTGATGTGTCTAAAAAAACACGCGCAGCAAAGCCGTCACTTGTTCGCAAATCGCAGTAACTACCATGGAGGACTCGCAGCGAGAACTCTTTCTGACAACATGCAGTAACTACACCAAGAAATACTCACGCTAACCCCTCTTACCATACCACAACACATGCTTAAGTCCTTGTTCCACCACTCGCCCCCAAATTCAACTTCTAAACAAGCACACCACCCGAAAACAATGTCTCGGAGCAACCTTTCCTTGCCCCGAACGATACGCTCAAAGGCCATCTCGCTTACGGCGGTGATGAAGCAAGCGTTTCACTTCGCTTTCGGTCTGAGGAGGCCGAGCGCAAATGCCGGCAGAAACGCCGCGGACGTGGCCCCCAGCAACCACCACGGCTTCGAGCAGGCCGCAACGGCAACGGGCAGCGGAAGGTAAGCGGTAGACGCGACGCCGCCTACGGCAACAAAGCCGCCAGAGAGAGCGGAGCCCAAGTAAGCGCCGGCATTGCAGCAGCGGCATCGCTCCATGAACGGGTAGGCCGCCTCGATGAAGTCGCCGAAGCAGAGGTTGAAGATGAGGCCTCTCCTGGCCAGGGTTAGGTCTACCGGAGATGTGGGCCGAAGCAAGTGTGCGGCGCACAGACCTTTGTTTCGGCACAAGGGAAGGGGGGGGGGGTGGATTGCGTGCTTGGCCTCGATTGGATGCCGTTGACCATGTTCCCGAGGCGCGACGGAGTGGCAGGGGGAAGGTGGTATTGGGGTGTTATATATTGCCCGACTCTGCCAAGAGTCACTCTGTGTCTAACCGACCTCGAGCCAGCGGAGTGCCGGTGAAACCGACGATGGCAGTGAGAAGATGCCGGCTTTGCCAGGTACCAATGGGTGCTGCTGACAACAGCAATGAATACGTATGTCATCTCCTTGGTACTGGTTATAGGTGAAATGACACACAGCGTGACTTGCAGCGGCCACCGGCCTACTGTTGTACCGCCGCAAGAGCTGCCAAAATACGAAATTGGTATTGCGAAAACAATTGACCGGCAAAAAGTGACAAAGCCTTTCTTTCAAGTCTAGATTACAACCGCGTTAGGTACCAGCACAACAGCTTGCACTCCCCCCACTCCCGTTTTGTTTTGTCCGACTTACACAAGTATGCGAGCTTCCTCATACGTTGCGACTCGAACCCATGTTACCCTAGGCACACGCCCGCATTCGGACTCGACAATGCATTCCGCCCACCCGCAGCGACCATGCACAGCGCGCACAGATCGATGGCGCCCCAGATCGATCCCCCTTCGCCACGGGCAAGCTCCAGCACGATCACCGGTAAAAAGACGCGGTGATACCAACCGATCTTAGACCCGTAGCACATGAGACACCCCATGCCCGCTCCAACGACTGCCTGCGCTTTTCGTCGAAAACCCAACGGGGAACCATAACGATTGAGGTACAATGACAAGTCACCCATCGTGAAAGATGTTTCATGGGTGGAATGCGCTCTTTCTGCTCACTATGGGTACTCTACCCAGTACAGAGAAGAGAAATGCAAGGCCAGGACTACAGCAGTAGCCGAGTTCAACTTCTTGCAGATAGTTCCAAGTATGTGTTCTTGTCGCAGTGTTGATTAGACTAGACTTTGTCTACAGTTGAAAAATAGCTCTCTCTCTCTCTCTCTCTCTCTCTCTCTCTCCCCCCCCCCCCCTCTCGCTCACGCTCTCTTTACATGTTCGCTCATTCAAACAGCCCGATCTTAAAGCAGGTAACCTTCCTTACTCATATACTTGTAGCGCATTCCTTCGTTTCGTCGTTGAACAATATGATCAGTTGGTTTGTTTGGCTTTAGTGGAACCACCCACGGATCGCGACCTATTGAAAATCATTAGCCCATTAAGTGGGGGCTACCTGTTTCAAGAACTCTATCATTCAGCTATTGAGCCAAACAATCAGGATATGTGCAAAGCAACGCGCCTGTATCCATGTGGCTTGCAGCCCGACGAGAAACGCATCCGTGGAGGTAGCTATCGCCCCAAGTAATCTGCGAGAAACGCAAGTCTCGCGTGAGGGGCGGCCGTGAATGGCGTACAACCGCTGACGGCACGTGGTGATTGATACGTGCAGGGACTGAAAATGCTGTTCGTTGAGTGCTGTAGACCCGGAGAGGTCTATTATTGGTCTACGGAATTGCCGCAGCAAGGGCAACCAGATCAACTCCGGCCGCCACGTAAGCTTTCCAACCAGACCACACCTCTTGCGTCTTGGTGCACTGCCACAGCACCTTTTACGAACTTAATGTATCAAGAGGCAGTGAAACAGCAAGGCGATCGAACTGTCAACATTGTTACGATGGAGGTCAAGAACGCAAAGTACTTGAAAACGTCGCTGAGTATCGCGGGTTCGGCTTATTGCAGGAAAACATTTCGTTGCGGCCGGTGCGGACGGCCCTCATCAACTTACTTCAGAAACGGCAGAACGGACAGCACCATCGCGCCAGAGAGGATGCCCGATGCGGCCGTAGCATACAGCGAAAGAGCAGTGGCGGGGACCCCAAAATCCAAGGCTTGCCCCGTCATCTTGGAGCAGAGGTAACCTTTTTCGCGATACAAGTTGGGCAAGACGCGGAAACCAACGACCTCATCCCACTTACGGAAACGGGATCACTTCACTCTTATCACCCGGCTGTTGGAGTCCCAACATCTAGGGAGGTCGTGGAGTTCGTGGAAATCTCGGAGAAAATGTAGTGTTTCATGAAGACAAATGAAGATCTATTTAACAGCGTGCTAACCCCCCCAAAAAAACAAGGCAACTGGTCACGAAGAAAACGGACTCTTTATTCACCTGCAAGTGTTCCTGCAGCGAGGGCGGCCAGTGTGTCCTCCATGCATAACGAGCCAGCAATAACCCCTGTACAGACAGCGGGGAGGTCATGGTAAAAAAGAAAAGCGGTGCCTCCTTGTAGTGGTTAGCACTGGATAAGATAACACGGTGTAACACTGGATAAGATAACAAGCACAGAAGTTTTATTCTGAGCACCTGCTGCTGTGGCCATGTCTCCGAGCGCGCTAGCTTGTCTCGCCGCCACCGCCGCCGCCACCACGGGGATGGCTCCCTGAAGTCGAATCATCCATGGGGCCGCCAACACGGCGCCATCCAACAGATCGCCCGTGGTCGGAACTGACCCGAGGGCAACCGCGACAGTCACTCTAAAATGAAATATCATGCACGCAGATATGTAGCATCGGGGAACGAGGGTGTGTTTTTTGTCAACTTTCAATAACAGACGGAATATACATATGTACCATCTTCCTGTTGTGATGCCCATGTTTTGTTGAGGACTTGATGGAATTTACTTTTTCTAATCGTGCGGCGTAATTAGACAGAGGAATATGGCATTCAGAACCAAGACAGAGTACTCGTTTACATTTTTGAAAAATGTAAGTTTGAAATGTAAGGGTGAGACGAACCGTTTCATTTTTTGTTCATTCCTTTCTGAGCTTCGTCCATAACCACGACAGTTTGTACATCATGAAACAACCATGTGTCGCTGCTGCGTTTGCTGCTGTTTCCGCTGTTGTCCAGACCTAACTATCTTGATCTTACGAAATACCTGATGTGGCCTCCAGGAAAACACCTTAAATCGTGCACCCTTTTTCATGAACTACTCCCGCTGCAGCCAGTAGCGTACCCGATTTGGACAGGAAGACATCCGGCGAACGTGGCGGCGGGTGCGAGCGGTTGCATCAGCTCCTTGGCGGAGTCGTACCGGAGTCGCCAGTGTCCCGCCAAGCCGGCGGCATAGGAAACAACCTTCGACTGTTTCGATGTGGTCGCACGACCAAAGCACCAAACAAAAAAAATGCATGCATTCATTTGACGCCGACGAGGGAGGTGTGCGAAGAGAGGGAAAGAAGGGCACCGTCAATGAACGACGAAAATACACAAACGTGACGATGCCATTGGTTGGTCATGCATTCATGCCACCATGCCAACATACCAACATACACACACAAGGGTTAGCCCCACAATTGCCTCCGGGACCAACGCCTACTTACCAAATTCGGGTAGACTGCGCAGTCAACAGTAGTTGGGGTACATCCATGAGTATTACCCATCGAAACCTCTTGTTTATGGGTGAACCAATGACCTGATGCATAAAAAACTTACCGCGCTTCGATCGTCCAATCAAATCCCCAAGTTTCACCGTTCAACCAACCAACGCGTTGCATCATCAACAAGAGCAACCGACCAATTACAACACACCCACCTTGTTCGTTGTCGCAACAGAGCCCCCGCTGGACCCGACCAGAAGGCAGCCCATGGCCAACGCCGCGCCCAACGAGGTGCCTCCAGTGCCTACCACCGGCGCTCGGCAACCCCTGGCCGCCGTGAAGGCTTCGCTGCCATCAAAAGATTCGACACATGTGTCAAAACATGTTACGAGTGTCGCGGACATGGGAACCGAGATTGAACACGCACTATCAAGCACAAAAATGGTTCCTCGTTCTTGAGGTGGAGGTCGATCTGTTTCTAAAACGACCGGATGTGTCCATCATGCTAGCCTATTTGTCGTGGACTTTTTGCCGACGAGTCACGACCAACAAAAAAAAGACGGGTAGTAGAATATCCCCACCCCCAATCCGCCGCACCTGTTGACACCGTGGACGTCGCACGATATCGCCACCAGCCCATGCAACGGTAGCATCTTTGGCGATGTTGCTGTATTGGCACCGCGGGGCGATTGTGTGGGAGCGTCGTCATGTCGACCGCAGCCCTCCCGCAAGGCTGCTGCAATCTTGACATCCTCCTTTCTTGCAGCCATGTTGACATCCAACAGGGTTCCTGCAGATGGAGGGAGTGATAGATACGGACAAGCAGAGAGAGGGGTAAACACATACACGTAACACGACCACGATCAGGTAGATTTGACGAAGAAGGAGGGCAAAGCACGGTGTACTATATAAAACGAACTCCAACGCACGGCCGCGCTGTAAGCTTTGGTGTCCCCGAGCGGCACCAGACAGAAAACCGATCTCGAGCGTATCAAAAAGACGCAAAGAGCGCCATGGCCCTTGGAGATGGCAATACAGCTACAACTTGTGATTCCGCCAGTGAGAAAAAGCACGCTTAAGGCCGAAAGGAAGAGCTGTGCCTAAACAACGGCGGACAACTTGAGACTAGCGAAACGCACGTGAAAACTGTTAAGCTTCTTCGTAGCAGTTCAACAATAAACATTCGCTGAACTTGTTCAAAAAGTCGGTACCAGTGTTACTGCCGTGGTTTGAGTTCATGCTCAGGCCGTTCTACAATATTTTTTTCTGCGACACAGCTTCTACACACGAAACCAACAACTACTGGCCTTCTGCTGCAACGACGAGAGCTTCATCGCCTTCGCCCGTCCCAGCCACCCATAGCGTTGCCGCAGAGCTGGGGTTAGCGAGATCGAGGGGCTCCGCGCAAGCAACAAACTGCACCGCGGCAAGGTGGATGCCAGCTCTCTCTAGTTCCTTCTTGGCCAACCGCAGAAGCGCTGGGCCATCGAATTGCCTGGATTTGATGAGACATTGAGACCACGCAAACACACCGTTTTCGTTGACATTGGTGTTGTTGTGTTGTTATCGGTGGTGGTGGTGGTGGTGGTGGTTGGCACTGCTTTGGCTTCATCTCGTTGTTTGCCCTGTTTGTGTTGTTGCTTGATGTGCCCTACCCGTTTCTGCTGCTGCTGCTGCTGCTGCTGCTGCTATTGTTGCCACAACGGCCGCACATCTGCGGTTTTTGTCGTCAACAACTTCGCGGATTGTGATAAATATTGTGTATCACTTCTCCAAAACCCGCAGCCCTTGTTGTTTCGTAACGAATGACCATCTATCATACCCACTGTGTGATTTCCGATCTCACCCTTGAGCCGCAGCCCCACCCCCACTGGACCCCACGAGAGCAACCCGCTTCGCAAAGCTGGCTGCATCATCAGTGTCGTAGCACCGGGATGATGTCCTCTCGGTGAAGGCAGCCACTGACGAGGGAGGTGCAGACCCAGCAGGTGGAGATGGAGAAGATGTAGACATAGGCACAGATGGGGAGATCATATCCCTCTTGCCGCTGTCACAGCGTGTCATGTGCATCAGAAGTTTAATTGTACGAAACGAGACGTGGAGAATTGGCAGGGAGAACGAGAGAGAGAGAGAGAGAGAGAGAGAGAGAGAGAGAGAGGGAGCAGGCCTAACACATACGGAAACGTGCTCATCTGGCCGGGTGCTACTTCGTTCTTTGGACAAATACTACAGAGATTGTCAAACGCAGCTAACTCAGGTGATCGGTGCTGTGTGTCTTGGAGCCCAACCTTCAACCTCCAACGCCATACGTTCACCATACAGTTCGAAGCAAAGGCACAGCCGCAGACAGGAGCGACGGTGAGACGGAGAGCCAGAGCAATCGCATCAGTTCCACAGGAAATACCATGAATCTGGTGCAATCAAAGCATACGGTAAATGTTGCCAAATCACGAGTCACCTTCATCGTGATCATTGTTTACGCGTTGAGAAAGGCAGCAAAACCCGATTCTTGCACTGAAAAACACATCTCGATAACAAGTTCTTGGGTTTGCATTGTACTAGACATGAATACATTCCGCAGAGGTCTCGATGACTCAGGTTATTATGGTCGAGATGACTCGTTCCACGATTCTTACGTGGACGCACCTGCTGTCCGCTACACTGCCCGAAAGGTGCGTTCCTTCTTGACATACATCTTCGCCATCGAAGTTAACCCATTGTTTCTTCGCGTTCGTGTTGCTGCTCGCCATTACCGCCACCAGCGCCATACGCGAAGGCTCGATCTGTTCGTCTTCCTGCTGCTTCGTCTCGTCACCGTCGGCATCCTCTCCAGCATCATCCCCCGCGATTTCCCTGCCTATCTGAACCACGACACCCTCTTCCCAGACACACTTGCTGCGGGCAGCATCGACATGGTTAATGGCGTCGTCATTCTCGAACGCGCCCCTTGCCCTCACTTCCACCTTGGAACCCGCTTTGAGGCGATCACGCCACGCTCTTGTGAAGGTGTGCAGTGGCTGAAGGTCGCAAGACAGCCGGTCGATCGTGGTATCGAATTGCTTGCTGTAGCCGAGGAAGTGGACCTTTGATTATTGAGTCACACACGGGCGGTGCGGCGGTGACACACGGGGTCGTTTGAGGTTTCTCTACGTACTTTACTGTAGGCGTGTCTCTCTTTCATGCGCAGCTTCAGGACGCCTTTTAAATCTCCTTTGGTGACACCAGACTACTTTCAGCAGTCTTGGTTCGGGGAATACGAAAACCAGCAGAAAACATGCCACAGATGCAACACAAATGGCGTATGTATGTGAAGACGTTGCGACACCGCCTCTGCTTTCCAAAGCAGTTCAAGAAGCCTACATGCACAAACACACACCACGACGAAGCCAAGTACGCATACAGTATGACTACGCATAGCAGCACACAGGTTGGCTCGTTCGTGCCTTCCGTCTACATAATCTCACAGCAAGACTGCCCGTTCGAGATATAACCCCAGTCGAAAGGGATGTGTTGAAGTCTCTACCTTCTTGTTTGACCTGCGCAAGAGACCAAGAACTATTTGAGGAACAGGGGTTGCAAGAGAGAGAGAGAGAGGGTGAGTTTGGGACGTTTGAAGTCGTTGCAACATGCCTGGAAGTTCTTTTCGTGAACGTTCAACACTCGAGCCTCCCGCCAACTGCTGTCAGGAGATAATCCCTCTCCGGGTACATGTGGCAGTCTCGCGTCGACCTTGTCGTCGACGTGCAGAGTGAAGCGCCAGCCGTGGGCTCTCATGAGGCTGTCCATGGCCTCGTTCATGCCATCCTTATCTCCCGCCATCAGTTACAGGCGAAACACGCACCAAGCTCCTCCGTACGTGTGTGTCCCACGTGATGTGTAGTCTAGACTGCTTACGTGTCGACAATAAAAAACAATTTACACCAGCGTTTTATCGGCCGAAAACGCGGCGGATCTCCGGTGATTTGCACTGACCACAGAGCACGTGACGGGTGCTGTCGCCTTTTTGGTGGAGAACTCTCGGACATGTAGTCCCTCCTCCCGCAATATTCTTCCCCTTGTCCAGACCAAGCGATCTACTGGTGTACTCGGCCACTCTCTCCCTCTCCTCTCTCGCTGCCCGCTTGCATGCGACATGCGTCATTTCCCCGTGCTCCTCGCGGAGGTTCATCGCAGAACCACATTCCGAACCGGTTCTCCTGTTTCTGCTTCCATCCTCCAAACATAGCTGGGCGCGGCGCTCCTGGACAGCAGTTGCTACCGACATTTGACAACTGTCGGAGCGCACGATGCGGTCTACGGGCGAGCTCAGGTTTGAGTTTGTCCAGGGGAAGACAGCGTGTACTACTGCTTACGCGAGGTAACGTTATCTAGAGTCCTCGCCATTTTTGTAGGCAGGGCACGGATGGCTTTTGCTACACGGCATGGCGATGAACGTGAGATGTTTGACGCGACCGTGATCGCCTGTTGTCTCGCGCTTTGGCAGATATCCTATCAAGTTCGTATCAGCGACCAGGGCATCTGATGGGGGCTGTTCCTGGGTGGTGAGTTTGTTGGGATGTTTTGCGATGCAACACAATCCCCCGTTGTTGTTGTTGAAAAGGTTGAAAACAGGTGTCGGAATGCTCGAATCTGTTCCGATTGACAACCGCTATGCTGGTATGCATACATGTCTCTCTTGTGTTAGCGTATCTCCTCCGGTTCTATCGCTGCACATTTTGTTGTACTGGGAAATGGCAGCATTGGACATTGCCGTGCTAGCTATACCAGTTGGAAGGAGCGGGGAGTTCTCTATCATACGATAGTCAACCCGGTGCTAACCTATGGTTGGCTGCCTTCTGGCTGTACCATCCATCTCCCGTCACAACCGAACGACTTATCACACAATGCCAGGCTAGCTCGTTCTTTTTATTGGCGCCGCCGCTGCCGCTGCCCGGTCCAATCGACGGAGAACATAATCGTCCAACGTACGTTAAATCAGCACAGAATAGCAAAATAGCACACATGCGGCCACCAGCACCGCAGTTGGATGCATACCGAAGTCAGTAGCAGACGCGTGGCGCTGGTCATGCCTCAAATGTTTCGATCCTCCTGCTGATGCCACTGCTGTTACTGTTACTGTTACTGCTGCTGCTGCTTGCGGTCTGTGTACGTCTGAATCAACGGTACGATGTCGACAAAGTACACGTTAGGCTATGGAGGAGGCGCAGTTTGCGGCGACGAGGTGACAATAACGTGCCACGTCGAGGAGAACAGCACTGCGGCGCTCACAACACAGGGATCCACGAAGGTAGATGGGTACAGTACAGTACGCAGGAACAAGTTATTATTCGGAGTCTCCGCATGATAACGTGCATACACATGCCGCTGCAACGCCATGCTCGTGTATGGCGTGAACGGTCGGAACGGCGTTTTTTTCAGTCGATCATGTCATTGACCACCTATACGGCATCAACCAGCGATTTCCAGCAGCACCCACCCCGGTCGATTTTCTTTCCTGCGTGAGCCTCCTGCCCAAGCACCCTGGCTATACCGGCATGCCCATCCCTCATAACCATTCCCGGGGCAGGTCTTCAAGCGAGGGTCAAAGAGCGAACACGCAACAGCGACAGAGCTCGAATCGGACCAGTGTCACAGGGCTTCTCAGACGCTCCTCTCCCGAGTGGCAAGGGCGGCTCTGCTGGTGGTTGTTCCTGACCCTGTGACCTGCTTCGAGAACTCCAGTTTCAAACAGGTAGGTATGGGGTGGATTGCAAGTCGCTCCGATTCTCTTCAAAGTTTCGGTAGACCTTGACATGCTTGCAAAGCTGTTGGCGGAGCGATAGTTGAGGCTTAGGGCTCTCGCTACGGGCCATTGTGTTTCGATGCGGCGGCTTGCTTGCTTCAAGCAATACCTCTGGCGACAGGTGTGAAGTCGGGGTGCCTTGATTCGAAGAATCGTTTCAGCTGCCGTCCATGGGTTCCCAACGGTCCGCGCGCTTTGTTCCCTCCGCAATCACCTTGCAACAGCACCAACGATTCCTGCTCGAGCATGGCTCTAGCTTGGTCCTCGTCGACTGGTTGACGAGCGGGCGCATGTCACGCGGGGAGGGCTGGGCGTTCAATCGCCTCGAGTCAAGAAATGAGGTCATGGTGCAGGTATGCGTGCGTACGTGCGCTCGGTTCTCGCCGAAAGCGTGTGGCAGTTACTTTTCGCTGTGCCTCATTGTCACAGTTTTTGAGTTTCAAAGGCACTGGTTAAAATAATTGTATTCTTTGAAGCGCTATTTCGAAGTAAATAATGCTTCAACTAGCCAATACCCGCCGGGGTGTCTTCGGATCCTCATGATCAGGGTCCAAGTGATGTCGACTCGCACAAGAACGCCTGTGGTGCCTACCGGAGCCGATCGCTAGCTTTAGAGAGCGTTCGCGCTTTGCGGGAAGAAGAGCCGGGCTTGGCAACGAAGTTTAAGATTGATGTGGTCGGTATCCTATCCTCGGATAAGATGTTAACGTTCCCCTTTCCGGAGCCGTGTGCCGCATATAAACTTAACTGGAATGATGTCTGAAGGCAAGAGTTCAATCATTATCGCACTCTCAATGGAAGACGTTTTATTTCGGCGCATCAGTCTGCGGTCGCCGTTAGACTGTTTTCTTCGATAGTCTTCGCTTATTGGAGCGCGTCAGTCTCTCGATCACAGCGCCCCGTCGCGAGCTCGAGACTCCAAAGACGAGTAGCGTTACAGCACCGTGTAACCTTTGTTTTAGCCATTCAGCTAGACGTTGGGATGTGGTGAATCGGTTTGAAATGGCGTTCAAACCTTCTTTTCGGCTGTCTTCGCCGACCTGAGCGTGCCAAGTTGACGATCACAACGTCCCTGTCGCGAGCTCGAGACTCCAAGGGCGAGACGAGCTACAGCATCGTGAAAAACGCTGAAATTTCATATCTCCTGCGCCAGGGCGAATCTACGCACGGTGCTGTCAACTATACAGAATCGCTCAGCTCATGGGACAAGAGGCTTTGTTGTGGAGAACGTCAACTCATCAACCATGACGACTTACACTGATAACGGCGGAATTTTTGGTAATGCCGTAAACTAGATGAGCTGAATTACAGTAGGTACTGACATCGAACCACCTGATGGTTGTAGTGCTCGCAGCTCGCCCATGTTCTGTTTTTGCTGCTGTAGAATTCTCTACCGCCAGAAACGCTAGCTACGCCATGTTAGCCCATGAGAAACCGATTCAATTTTGTCTGAAAGCAACCTCCAAGTAAGGATTGCGAGGCACGTAGGATTGAGTGTGGCACGCCCGTGATGAAAGTGTTGTTTTTGATGATGATTATGTCTTTGGGGTGACGTAGTGTCATTGCGAGACTTCCATGCTGATGATAGATAGAAAATGCAGCATATATGGATGTGTGTGGCCACAAAAATGTCGCGGAAGGTCAGCGCGTCAGGTACGCGCCTTTACGCTGTCTTTTACTTGCTACGGCTCTGCCTCACGTCGGATACACCCGTCTACCGTCGGATGCCCCCACCAGAACAAAGCTGGAGGCTGTCCTGCAGTACAATGAAACTATCAACCAGTTACTGGCCTTTTGAGTCATTCCAGAGTTGGAAAGACAATGGTTAACGTCGGCATTCCAAGTAAGATAGAACTGCCCATCGATCAAATGTTCCGCAAATGGTTGAATGAAAGTATGACGTTCGAATTTTCCGTCACGTCGAAACATTTGGTCGGAACCTCTTTTCTAGCTCCGTGCCCTTGGGTATGCTGTGCACAGTCTTCACCCACCACCCTTCCTTTCAGCCTGACCCTGAGAGCGAGGGCGCCAGGCGAGTGCCCCTCTGGCGCCCGAGCCCGGCGGCCTCGTACAATGACGCTTTGTGAATGGTCGACAACGGCGCGCTTCACATCGTGTGGCCAACTCTCTGCTGCCCCTTTCATCAGTCATGTACAAAGGGTAAAGGGCAAGACGAGGACAACTCGGGCGGGTGGAAGCCGCTGGTGTTCGACTCCCTAGTGCTGGAGGAACTGCCAGGCCTAACTGTCCGCGAGAGAATGTTGGGAATGAACGTGAGCAAGAGGTTTCATGGATGTCAAACATGGATGGGCCCTGGAAGATCAGGATGTCATGGACCCATCGCAGTGAATCATGCCCCTGGCCCGTTCGTGGTCTGGCTTACTGCTGCCACTCAAGGATATTCATGTATTAATGGCGGGGAGTCCTGAGGTGGATCAACATGCTCGTTAGGATTAACACAGATTCGTCGGAGACAGAGTTATTCGGCCCTCGTCCCTGGCTGAATAAACGATCTCGAGCCTATCACCAATCAACACAACGTGTCCAGAAAATATTGTTTGATCACCAGTTCCGTGAACAGCCTTCTTCACGGGACGGGTATGGTTGCGATGCTGAGGTACGGGGGGAAATTAGAACGGAGTCATGTGTGTGGCAACGGCAACATATTAAACGACAGCCACCGTGTAGCCAACTCGTGCAGCTTCGAGCGCGTAACCTGCTGTAACTCGCTCATAACAGTACGGGAATCCAGTTGCCCCCCCATACTTTCCCCTCACTTCGCGCTTCGAATAGGTGGTCGGCATTGTCATCCTGCTCGGGCCTCGCTTGGAAGGGTTGGTGTCGAAAGTGTTGGACCTTGAGACCACGAAGCGATCACGCTTTCCGGCTGGACTGGAACCAAAAGGAGCGGCGACCGGTGATAAGGTACAGCCTGAATTGGGTGTGTATGCGGAGGCGGCCCTGTCTGTCTTTCTGAATAGTAGCCAGGATTGATCCAGCGTACATAGTCTTATTACCTTGGGTGTCTCTGGTATCCGTGTTTGATTACAATCCATGGTTCGCACCCCAATACTGTTCTCAGGTGTTGGGAGCAGTGCTGTTGTGGTTCGTGGGCGCCTGTGTTGCCGGGGCCACTGCAAAGAAATAAACTACTGTGGCATCATCCCATATTGCCCTCCGCTCCCAGCCTGGATTTACTCTCTTTCTTGTATGACCACCCTCTCGGAACGATATCGATGTACATACCCGCCGACCTACAACAGCAGACGGCGTTGCCCCCAAGAGAGACGGGAAGGACGCTCTCTTCTGTGAGCCCTCTGAACGGTGGAATCGACGACTGGTGCAGAGGGCTCGCCTACCGCTTCGCGGCAGAGAGGACCGACGATGCTCGCGCGATGCTCCACGACCTCCTCCTCCCGCTGCAGCAAGCATTGGGGGGGAGGGCCCCGTACAGTCGGGAGGGCGGGGAATCTTGAACGACGGCAGATGCAGCAGCGTTAGCATGCGTGAAGGAGGAGGTCGAGAATCGCATGCTGCACGGTGTGGCTGGCACAGCGCGCCACTTTGTCCCAAAACGAGTGAAACATTGACAGACCGGGCAAAAACCCACACATTGCTGTTAGAGCCGACGTTTAAGGGCACGTTGGTCCGCCGAAAGGCACATGGGCCAAAGGGCCGACCAGCGTGCACGACGACAGCGCTGGAAGAGCGGGTCGTCAGTTGTCCCGGAAGACGGCGGTGTCTGTGGTCTTATGAAAGTCCACCGAGATATTCGTTCGGACTGGCGCCCGTCGCAGGTTCATGGTGTTTTGCTGGTTCAAGGTGAACTTGTTTTGCACATGGTGGAGTAGTCGTACAGTTGTTCGTCATCAACCTGCTGCTGACTCATTTAACACGCGAACTGGTTCTTCCCCAACAAACATTGTCGGAAACGGCAAGGGAAAAACGATCACAATCGCATTATTCTCGGGCGACCAGCAGCCAGCCGATCTCGCGCTCGCAAACCAACTATTCGTTTGTGCTACTAGCATCTGCCGCAGTAGGGTCCACTTCGGGGTAGATGATCTCATGTAGGCGTTCGTTGGCAACCTTCAGCTGCCCCTCCTGGTGAGCCGCCGCCCTAATGTCCTCATACGCGATATTGTTCGGAAGCGCACCCATCGCCGCCCCCTCCTGCGAGCAACCGAACCAGAACCAGACAAGGGAGAAAAATAATGAGAATTGCCGTGTCAAAGTGGATGTCGCTCCATGCACCGTCGCTTGCTGACTCATCACCAAGTCGTAAAAGAAAAGCTGCGAGGTTACAGGGTGACGCACCCGGGAGAGCGAGTACGATTGGTACCTTGGGGACACTCTCTTTTTGTTGCTGCCAAGAAATAGAAGGCCGCCCATTCTCGTGCGACCCCCAGGCACGGTAAACAAGGGACCTCGGTGAGTGGACGCACAACACCGAGCGTCATGGACCCGCAGTACACAACAATCGTAGGGATTAGAATAGCCGATAGTCTGGCCATCTCGTAATGTAGATCGAGATGACGTGCCTGTACAACCGGGGATAGGTAAACGCATAATTTAACTGCAACAGCACATGTGTGTGTGTGTGTGTGTGCTTCACTCGTTCTCCGGAAAAAATATTAAATTGAAGGTGGACTACTGACTGTTCGTCAATCCGACGAGCTGAAAAAAAAAAAAAGACAACTCTGGTGTGACGGAAAACAAGAAGTGAAAGTTTCATTTCAATGTCGGTACACCTTGAGGACCTCGATGGCCTCTCCCCAGTCTCCTGCGGACGCAAGGGCCGATGCCGCCGGCCCAAACGAAGCCTTGTCTGGAGGGAACTTGGAGCGCCTGTCGACGAATGATCATGCCACACCAAAGGTCACCGTGCCATACAGTACAACCACGAAAACGAACAAGTCAAGCATGTGAGCGATACCTCGGCAGATGAATCACAGTGTGGTAGTTGTCATGTCATCAGTAAAGCCCGTGACGACTGGGTTAATGGGTGCAAAATCGAACGTGAGGCCTGTCGTCTGGAGGTTTATATTCTCGTACCTGGAGATCGTACCTACCGTTCACATCGGCACTCACGATCTACTCCGGGTGGCAAGCCCATTGAACTCCCGATAAAATAACTCAGTGCACGGATTAACGTCTCTTGAAACACAGGTGCATATAGCCAAACGCGAAGCAACCCAGTCAATGGCACGACAATCATGCCCTACACTGGATCGCTGAACTTTTAGCATTCTGCCTCTGACCTCATTTCATCCAGGAGATTTCTTGCAGCGTCAGCCCCTTCCGCCCGCTCATCTCTAGCACACGCCAACAAAATGCCGGCGTAGAGACGGGCGATGTTCTCGCCCTCGTATACCTGCCGCGCCTGCCGTCGCCAACAACAAAAACATACAGCGAGAGAATCGATTAGGCCGGTCTGTTGACGCGATAATTTCACCGATCTGTCGGTTTTGATCCAACCGGTACCAGCAACAGTGGAGACACGAGGAAGGGCCATTTCGCTCAAGACTAAGCTGGGCGAAACACTCAACACAAACACGCCTATGCGAAAATGTTCCCATCACATTGGGCCCTGTGTATCAGACGTGATTCCATGGGTCAGTCGAATCGCGTGGTTGTGCTGTCAGATAAAACACACCACCGCTACAATGGCGCCCTCGTAGGTTACCTCGATGAAGATACTCATCGCCCGTCGCAATGGAGTACTGTCCGCCGCATTGTCCAGAATCGCCTCCTCTAAACTACTTTCCACCAGGCCCTCCTCACTCTCAACTCCTTCCCCGTTATCCTCGTCATCGCCGTCATCGTCATCGTCATCATCGTCGGCGATGGTCCTAGTCTTGACGCAACACGCGCGGATGCCGTCTGCGTAAACCTGCATGGCTATCACGCCTCCCTCCTCTCGCATTTTCTGGCACAAGGGCAACAACAAGTTCAGGGACACGACGAGATTTGAACAACAAGAACGAAAACATGCAGACCGATGTCCTGTGTTCACACGGGGATGCAGGAAGCGTGCAGCAGCTCGGGGAGGTGTGTGTGTGCTCACAGCCGTGCACGCCGTAGTCGTTAGACCGTTGACCTCGCCTCCCTACAATGCCGCAACGGAGCACGCCAGGTTCTCACCGGACCAGGCTACATATCACATCATACATCACCAAGCGCAAGGCACCATGAGGCATATGCATCAGCTCGGGGAGGGACGATAGGAGAGGTCTGTGGGGCGAGGGGTAGGACCAATTACCGCGGAGGAAGGTTTTCCTAGGAATTTTCTTCGGACTACCGCCCATGCGGCCAGCGTAAGCAAACGAGCTTGGCACCCGAAACTCTTAGAGAGATGGGGCCCGGAAAATTCTGGCATGAGCTACCAATAGAAGGGCAAACAACGGTGGCACACTCCAACAGAGTACACCATTGCGTACGATACGACAACAGCCTGTGCCTGCCCAAAAACACTGCTGCACTAGAGCGAATAAAACATAAGTAGAGCCTGCAAAATTGTAATTTTAACGTGCCCCCTGAGTTTTCCCCTGAGTTTCCTTCACCTCCGCTGGCAGACGGTGTCCGTAAAACAAGGTGGAACAGAAGCTAACAAACAAAAACATTATCACCCAACATCATACGCCCACTTGAATCGTCTGCAGCAGGGACGCCGGGGGTGCAAGAGCAGGTGCTTGCCCAATAGTCCCCCAATAACACGTAGAACGCTTTTCAGAGGGCATGTTGGGCCTGGAGACAAATCGCAAGCACACGTGCGCTTCCACCCGCTCCCATGTGCAGGGACCCTGCCTAGCCTCCACCAACCCAACCCACCTCCATCAACAGCCAAGCCCACTCGGCGGCACCAGCCTGCTCTGCTGCCCTCAGCACCAAGCTCATCGTCAAGCTATCTGGCTCAACCCCTCGAGACTCCATTCTGCTGAACAACTGCATTTCGCGAGTCAAGTCAAGTTGAGGCCGAGTGCAGCAGCGGGCGTCCCAAATAAGTGCGAGTCAGCAGATATGTTCGGTCAAAGATAAAAAAAGGGGGATTTCGGGTTGCATGCCCCAGGTTAAGTCATTAGCTGATCTGGCGACAACCAATGATATGATGTCGCAAAAAATATTTGGAGTACAACAATTCACGCAGCAGATCTAAACCTAGCGCAACTATGGGCCAACTTCCAGGATACGGGCAGATGAATGTAATTGGTATGTAACTAAAGGCTGTTTGAGCATACACATCAACATGTATCGAGCTGCGTCATAAGAGCTTTGGGAAAGGCGTATCATGGGTCAAACCCCAACACGGCTGAACGAACCAAAAGAAACGACCTCGTGTTTGCTTGAAGTCCTGCTTGCTGCCCTTGAGCGGCGCCAAACCGAAACGTTTGCTTCGCAATTATTGCCAATAAACCCGCACGGAGCAGAAGGCAGTTAGTTGGGCATCGCAGTGCTGCTGCAGCTGTGGGTCGCGAGAAGTGAGGAAAGACGTTATTTATTCAAAGAAAGCTTTTCACCAAGTTCAATCCAACACGGTACGGTACTCGTAAGAGTCCACGGACGGTTCAGTACCGACAGGAGCACTCTTTCCCTGCTGTGCTATTGCCCGAATACAGCAGCAGATGTGCCAATCCACCACCAACGGTGCCGTTGCACGAACAACCAATCCGCCAAAAAGCGACAAACGACCCGGCGTTCAACTCAGCTATCAGACATGCCTAGGTGCGTTGACCAACTCCCAGAAACGAACCCAGCCAAGGACAGAGCACGACAGGAGCATGTTAATAGGAAGCAAATACGGCGTCACTGAGTTCAAAGCGTGATGTGCGATCGAGATACTTGGGTCTGGCGAACGCGTGCGCTTCAACAGCTGGCGTCACCTCTAAAACCGTTTCCGGGTCGTCCTTCTTGAGCACAGGCCCCATCAGAGTGTTGAAGCAAATCACGTCCATCACCATGCCACTGGCATCGTATTGCTCGAACAGAGCCAGTGCTCGCTCCACCTCGCCAGCATCTCCGTAGACCTGTCCCGAACCGTTACAATCAGTTCATCTAGGGACTACCAACCCGATCTCATCAGGCGGCGCAGGTGTAAGGAGTAAGTCGCACAATGTGTAGGGGTGGGGTAGTCTAGGGCGACATCCAAAGAGAAGACCAAAGAGAAGACTATCGTACACCTGCTCGCTAGCCAGTTGCTGGGTTCAATGAAAGCCGGTGGGGGTAGAGTCGAGTTTTGATTATGATCATCACGGATGCGAGGGAAAGGCAGGGAAGGAAGGAGGTGCGGTGTGGCGTAGTTTTGATTATGATCATCACGGATGCGAAGGAAAGGCAGGGAAGGAAGGAGGTGCGGTGTGGCGTGATGCGATGAAAGGACGTGAATCAACGTCGTGCACCTTGGTCGATGCGATAATAAGACGCTTCTCGAATGGGTACTTTGGCGACGAGGAGGGAGAGGCATCCTACCATTCCACCGAGGCGATTGACAGCGGGAGAGGGCACACCCACGATCATCGTCTTCACCAACCAGCCGTTCGTCGCAAACACGCATAGACACATTCCACCCAGCAAAGACGCACACCTTTAGCACAGCCGTCAAAGTCCTGGAGTTGGGCTTGACCCCGAACGACTCCATTTCCGAGAGCAGAGCCTCAGCCCTTCTCCAGTCCGACTCCCTCTTGCACCCGGACATGATGGTGGTGTAGGTTGTCACATCCGGAGGAACTCCTCCTTCCCGCATGCGATTCAAAATATCGTCCGCCTTCTCCATCTGCGAAATAATGAACGGTGGCATCGAATACCGCACGAACGGAGGCGTCCAAAACACTTCAACCCGTCACTGACGTTCCGCTTCGCTTCTACGGAACGGCAAATGGCAGCTTTCCAAACGCAGACAAAGCACACCATCCAATGGGATGAGGACAGGAATTGCCTTCGAGGATAGATCAGCACGCTCAGCACCACTGATATAGAGACGGGTGTGTGTACCCCTTAAGACCACTTGTTCAAGGACGTGTCACGAGGTTTCTAAAAAAATAATAAAAACAAGTACACATATTTTGTACGCCACCCACCCCCGTCACCCGCACCTGCTCGCCCTTCAACACGGAGGCGATGAGAGTGTTGTACACCACTCGGTTAGGCCGGACCCCCGCCTGCTCCATCTCTACCAGCATGGACCAAGACTCCTCCCAAGAGCCGTCTATGCCACTCGCTCGCATCATTGCCGCGTACGTGTATTCGTCCGGCTTCAGCCCTGAGCAAGAGTGAGTGTGAGAGTGAGTGTGAGAGTGAGTGTGAGTGTGAGTGTGAGCGTGGTCGAGAGTAAGAGTAAGGGTGAGGGCATGAGATTAAGATTGAGAATGAGAATGACAGTGAGGGTGAGAGTGAAAGTGTGAGCGTTAAAACGAGAGTGAGAGTGAAAATGAGAGTGAGAGTAAGAGTGAGGGTGAGGGTGAAAATGTGAGATTTAGAATGAGAGTCAAAGCGAGAGAGATAGAATGAGAGTGAGAGTGAAAGTGAGAGTGAATGAAAGTCACTAGCAGGACCAACAACACAGTCCGTCAGTACGAGCACGACAAGTTGTATCCATACGAACACTTTGGTGTGTCATGATGGACATGTTGTGTCCTTGATCTATCTTGCCTTTCCAAGCGGGGTCACGGGATGGCACGTCAGTTATCTATCGTAGCGGGAACGCCAACGATGTCATTCAAGTACAAACGAAAACGAAACGTCGTCTAAATCCTCTGCCACGCAATCAACCCGGGCCAAGCTCTGTGAAAGCAAGGGAGACGCACCGCTAGCCTTCATTGTCGCGACCAAGTCTTTGATCCCCTCCATCTGCTTCGCCTTCCCAAGGGCGCTGATGGCCGCGTTGTAGCCCCACATGAGAGATCTCATGGGCGGCTTTTCTGAGACCAGCTTGCTCAGGGTGTCGAGAGCCTTCTCCCACTGGCCGAACTGGACAAAGAGAGAGAGAGAGAGAGAGAGAGAGAGAGAGAGAGAGAGAGAGAGAGGTCAAGCCGATCCCAACAATGTCACGCAAGAAGTTGATGCGAAATTGCGCGGGTGCGGACGGGCGAGACGCGAGACGGGAGGTTGGCGTGTCTACATGAATGCCATCACAGTGCTGATGGTCTTTTCAGAGCAAAATCACCCGAACTGGTTCCAAGAACAGGGTGGACCGGGGTGCGACCTGTTTGCGAAAACGAAATAGGGAAATCCACTCAATGACGAACAGAGGCCGTACAGCTGCAAGTAGCCAATTAACCTTTCACAGCGAGACGCCAAAAACACACGCCCGGAAATATTGCCACGAACTTGTGGGCAGCTCGGAGCCACGCAGACACAAGCACATCCATAAGTTTGTTCAATACAGCGCAACCAACAGAACACATCGCAAGTGAACGAAGAAATCACGTGCTCCCTTGACACCTTGTGGCAAAACATTTCTTAGGTGCCGTGTCTACCCTATTTAGTCTAACCTAAGGTGAACAAAAAGAAGCAACGGGAATAAGAGTGACCCAACTCGACCCTCACAACTAACTACCACTGTACCTTTTCGCACGCCCCTATGGCGGCTGTGTATACCACCGGGTCTGCGGATAGCCCGCACTCCCGCATCTCGTCCAGAGTCTCGAGTGCTCTCTTCCATTGGCCGCCGTTGGCGAGTGCTTTCACCACAGCCGAGTAGCAGAAGCGATTCGGCTCCACACCGTGCTCTTTCTGCATCCCCACGAGCATCTACAACAGGCGAAAGAAACATGCAAGAACGATCGTCCATCCCGCCAGCACACGTCGGAGGGGGTAGGGGAAGGGCGCGCAGGGAGGGCAGCGCGGAGATGTCAGCTTTAAAGCACCCTTAGTGGTCCCGTCCTCTCTAGTATTATTTTATTTAATACCTGCCTCCCTGCACCACTTCCGATATTCCAAAACAGCCATCCTCATCCCGGCATCGACTTGCGATTGGGCCAGCGATCGATCACGTTGCTATCTTGGAAGAAAGGGAGTCCGCGTACCCGAACAAGTTCTAAACCAAATGCTACAGTCAAAGAGGGACAGGTGCAAGGCAACCGAGTTAAGGTCACAATCAACAGCAGCGCTAAACTTTGGACCCTCGACATATCCTGGACACCGATTTGAATGGCACAGCCAATGTACCCTGTAGACCAGTATTTACAAGTGTAAGCTGCTGTACACCAGTATTTAGTATACCTCAACACGCCACAACACCCCATACCTGTTCGGCCCTTTCCCAGTCGCCCTTGTCCCCGTAGGCACGGATAGCCGAAACGTACGTGATGCTGTTGGGCTTGAGCCCCGACTTCGCCAGGGTCTCGAAGAGCTCTAGCACAATGTCGGCGCCCGCTAACCCTCTGGGGCTCAACGCCGACATGAGGGACCTGTCGAAGAATCCCATGCCATGTCGCCACGCGTAAGACTGTGGTGTTACATGTACTGGTGGTGAGTGTGCCGGGCACAAAACGAGTGCCAACACACCATCAATCCAACCACAGGTTCGAAAGGCTTCCCGATGGATATGCCACCCGCTGCCGTGGAAGTGCATCACTGGATCTGCACGCGTGCATAACGAAGCTCTGGCATAGATAGCTCCACGTATCTGCCATCTGGAGCTGTACTAGTCCATTCCAGTGACTGCTGGTGTTGTCTTTTCATTTGTGAAGTGTAAGGCGTTGTCTTGTGTCGATACCGAACTGGTTGGTTCGTGTGACCATACAATACCATACCATACCATACCATACCGAAACATAACTACCGGTGGTGCCGCTGTGGAACAGGAAGGCACGCTATCACCGTCTTTAAGGGTTGTAAGGGTGCAGACAACGGCAACGACAATACTACCATCACCACCACCAACAACAACAACAACAACTTACAAAAAATCAATTCAGAGTTGCCTGATCAACAATGCTAGCAGTCGATGAAAACGTGGGTATCCACTCTTTTCGCGTCAAGCGAGGACTCATTGTACTACGCTACGATGCAAGTGGCCGCCATAGCCGAAGAGGGAAACAGGCAAACTCAGGACAACCCGAACACCCGACCTGGACGCTTTGATAGGAAGCCTTGTTTAGAAACTAGAGCCTCGTCGCGACAGGTAACGCGCGCAAAGGACAAACAATAACGATATTATAGCGTGCCGGTCATGACACCGCGCCCGATATAATAAAAATAGACCCGCAACAGGGAGACAACCAGAAAGCAAAAGTCTCAAGTGTGCCTACCTCTTATCTCTGTCTCTGTTCGTTTCCCTCTGATTTGATCGTGCTCACCCGTACGTGATGATGTCGGGCTCCACTCCCTCCCGCTTCATCTCCTCCATCAAGCCCAAGGCAAAATCTCCCGCGTCGCTAGCCTCTGCCTGCGCCGGGCTCAGCCCCCGTCCCTTGTTTTCTCTCTTCGCAGGCCATTCACGCGTCGCGTTGTAGAAGTATTTGTTTGAGTTGCGTTGTCGTGGGTGGTCGTGTGGTTTCCAAAGCCAACGTTTTAAGAGCAGAAACGGGCGAAACGAATGTCATACATAGATCACACCCGAGCACACAATCTATGAATCTCGGTGCTATTTCCATTCGCATCATCACGGTCGCCATCACCAGCATCACAATGAGTTTCCCTACGGTCTGTTAGTACTGAACTGGATGTCTTCATGTGTTCCCTTCCCTAGAGAGGATACAGCGGATAACGCCACCCTCTGAACACTCCTTACTTTCGCCGCTCGCGATCACTGCATGCTTTGTTTTGGTGTTCCTACCACATGATACTGAAGTACACTCATTAGTAGGCCCACAACTGTGAAGGTCACCCCAAGGATGTGGACGTCACGGTATCAAGAGCACATTCAATCCCACCATTGAGAGTCATTGCATGCTACACCAGAGGATGCTAGCTTTATTTTGCCCCGCTCCAAGACTGGCGTGGATTTGTTGGTTGAATCTTTGCGCGTTCGATGTCCATGAATGTAATACGAACGCGCAAAGATTCAACCAACAAATCCACGCCAGTCTTGGAGCGGGGGCAAAATACATACGAAGTACTATAGAGTAAATACCCTCTGGTGTAACATGCAATGACTCCTGTTACCGTGTATGATTTGCAATGAGTTTGCACATATCACACACAAAGGCGTCTCATTGCATCCCACTCACACTACGAGATGGGACACGGGGTTAGCACGTGATTGGGGAACTGTCGGTATTCTTCAAAACTTCAATGACGTTCGTATTCGAAGTATTCGAGGGAGAAGAACTGGAAAAAACGTTATTGGACGTGGCGCTACCGACATGATACGGCAGTGTCAAGGGCGAATTGTTGTTGTATGCTGGAGGACAGACACAGCCAGGGCTGGTTGTGCGTGCTGTGAGGGGTCCTACAGTACCCTCGAGTCTCGATATCACAACATAAATACTCCTTTGTCCGCAATCGACATTTCTCACCGTCGAGGTAGGGCGGAGGAAGGAGCTCGTCTCCCGATTGTTGTTCCACGCCTTGTTTGGCCTCCCGAAGAACGCGCACGCCCCGATGACCGTGTTGTAGGCGATGGTGTTTGGTGGGACGCCGTCTTCCCTCATTCTAGGCAGGAACGCCGCCGCCTGCATCCACTTCCCCGCCTCTTTACACGCCTTCCGGGATGCACGCAAAACAGCAGCGACGTCACAGGCAGGATAGGACACAGGGGAGCATGTTAGAGGTAGGGTAGACAAGGTCACCGCAGGGTTACCGTCACCGTTCAATCTCCTTGTGTCTTGATGTCTTGTGTCGCCGCTTTAACTGCGCCTTCGGAACAGGGGTGAAAACAAAATGACGTGTGGGTGCATGGGTGCGGTACTATTAGAGCGTGCCGGAAGTTCAGAGGGCAGTTCGGGGGTAGGGAAAAACAATGCGCACGGTGAAAATTAGGAGATAAATGGTGTAGCCGTCTACTGTATTCCCATTGGAATGTCGCCCCCTCTGGCAGCTTTTCCTCCTCCAACAACAGGGAAAGGGAGTACGTACGGTGGCGGATATGCAGTACAGTACACCATGAGGGCTAGTTGGTTGATCACCACCACGCACCAATTGCGCACTGACAACGGGGGTCAGCGGCTGGAACGGAATCAATCGACGGGAAGAAAGGGGACGCAAGGCAAGGACATACATCCATGCCGGGAAATCAAAAGGGGTCACATGTCATCATTAGGAGTGGGAAAGGGCAAGGGTCCCCAGGGCGTGCGACTAACGTGAGCTAACGTGACTGACAGCTCACATTCATGGCGGCGCAGTACGTGTACTCGTCTCGCGGCACGTCATTTGCAAACATTTCGTCCACCAGCGCGGAAGCATCTTCCCAACTGCAACAGGGCAGGGCAGGGCAGGGCAGGGCAGGGTAGGGCAGGGCAGGGCGGGGCAGGGCAGGGCAGGGCAGTACCGCCAAGAAAAGGTCTGTGAGAAACATGAACATGATTGATTCGGGTGTTGACCGAGAAAAAGGACCCGAGCGCTCTCCCAGCATGTCACAGCTTGTCACAGCTTGTCACAGCATGTCACAGCTTGTCACAGGTAGGGCTAAGTCGAAGGGAAACCGCCAAGTGCAGTCAGTGTGGAGTGAAGGACAGCCAGCACGGCGAAAGCCTCAAGGCTGGGGCTCCAAAAGGTGTGCTAGGCAGAAACTCTTTGGCATAGGTAGTACGCACCGGCAGATGAGTTCATACATACGATCACCCGCGGCAAGTAAATGAAGTTCCGGTTTGAGCTCACCGTCGTACCCCCCCCGCCCCGCGCACAGTACACAAGGCGCGCCCGCCGTCCGCAACGGACCCAGAGACGACAGTGATGGTACCCCCCCCTCCCCCCTCCTCGCCCAAAAAGCGACACACAGGCCCCCCATCCTCAAAACAAACCCTAAACCCAAACACACCGTGAGGACACCGCGCCCACGCCAAACGACAGCACCAAGATCAACACGCAACAGTTCTTCATGTCGAAAACGGACACAATACAACTCTAACAAAACACCCAGGCCGGCCGGCTGGCTGGCTGGCCGATACCGTGGCATGAACGCAACCTCACCTGCCGTCCACGGCATACCCCGACACGACGGCGCTGTACACCGCCGACAAATCCAACCCCTCGAGCTCCAACTTGGCGTCCTCCAGTACCGCCCTCATCATCGCATTCTTCTTGGGTCCCTGGATGCCCTTGACGACGCCGACGTACGTGTAGCTGTCCGGCTTGATCCCGTCGCAGCGCATTTGGTCTAGCAGGTTCAAGACTTCGCTGTGTGGTCTCCTGCAGTGTTGCGCATGTGCAGTGCCGGATCGCTTGTTCATGTTGGTCGCCGGATGTGGACGTTGAGAAAGGGAGGTTCGCCTGCAGCAGAATCGACCTTTCCCGCTCCCCTATCGGGATGTGAATCATACTGTAGCATATGTTGCCCCGTCATTTGCCGGGTCTCGTGTGTGGGCCACGCTAGACGCTAGAAGTTGTGCGTGGCCGCTATTAATAGCCAGACATTCCCACTGCTGTGGCGCGAAAGCGGCCCAAATCGTACAGAAAGGACAACGGATCCATCACTCAAAAAAACCACGCAGGTAAGAGCAGTTTTTTTTCTCTACACTATCTCAGATAGACGTCCCGCTGGAGACAGGATTATCTGCAACATACGGGGGTACACCAACACTCGTAGTGATGAGCACATCACATACGATCCGCTTAAATGTACTTTGAATATTCACTACCCAGAACCGTCGCCTCAGCGTTGAAACAGACCGCGGACGTGCGGCACGGCAGCTGTATCACCTTACCGTATGTAGAACGGCTGACAACAAGGTCACGTGTCAAGTCAAGTCAAGGCGGTGCGTACCTAGATCTCGCGAGTGCGGCGATCAGCAAGTTGTACGTGAAGACCGTCGGGTGAGCGCCGCACGCCTGCATCTCTCCGAGAAGCCCCACTGCCGCCTCGCACTCCATGTTAGACAGGGCGGTGCGCCGAAAACTGGAGCGACTGCTGCTGAGCACAGAGTAGCATTGCACGCGTGTTGGAGGGTTGGGCCACACGGGGGCTCAGACATGCAAAAAAGAACAGACACAGCAGTGATGCCCGATATGCTTGAATAAAGGGTACGCGATGTGCTTGAAAAACATTAATCGGATGAGTGGTTGCTGGAGAGGATAGAGGTTTCGAAACGTGTGTGAAACGTGTGTGAAACGTGTGTGAAACGTGTGTGTGTGGAATACCTCATCTTTGCGAAGATCGCCCAAGGCACTTACCTTGTTCGAGACGTGAATGCCTGACCGTTGACAATCGCGAGCATGATGTTATTGTACGTGCGGGCAACGCTGTGCCCCTTCGAGACCATGCCTCGCACCATGGCCAACGCTGTATCCAGCATCTGACCCCTCGCACAAGCTGTCGCGACGTGTCCTAGGCACGCATTGTCCGCCGCGACTCCCGCTGACTGCCGCGAACAAGGGCGCAGAGGGAGGCAAAAAGTAAAACACCAACCCTACTGGAAGCGCAATTGGCACGTCGATATTCGGCAGTAAATTGGTCGAAGCCACATCGAAGACATCGAGCACACTACACACTAAGATGAAGATGGGTACTGGCGTGTTCCGTGATTGCCGTCGAGGGGTTACGATGGCGGGTGACCGAGAAGGGACGATAATAGGCGGTTGTTCACGAGCGTTGTGCACGCGACATGTGTGAGTTCGCCGCGTGTGGGTGCAGAGAAGAGACGGTCGTTGGTCCGTCACCTTGACGAGGGATACCGCTGTGAGATTCGGCAAGGTAGACGCATGCTCAGATAGCAAGCGATACTGCTGTTGAGATTATTCCATCTTTTCATCTTTACTTCCGACACGAACTTCGTTGTTGTGGCTTCAACGTTAACGTTAACGTGGCCATGGAGCTACTATAGTAGAAAAGTAGGAAAATTCAGCTTCGTATTGCGTGATTCGGAGAGAGAGAGAGAGAGAGAGAGAGAGAGAGAGAGAAGAGGTAGGGTACCTTGCTCTGGTGCTTGGGGTGAAATACTGCTGTTGCTGCTGGTTCGCACGCTGCTGCCGCCGCTACTGCTGCTACTCTCCCTGCTGTGCATGTCGCCATCATACGTTCGCTCGGGTGGATTTGCACGACCTTCATAGCCTACAGTAGGCATGCACACCTATCTCTACGCACGCATTTCTCGGGCATGCGTGAGACAAGTACTACGGTAGTACACCTGCAGGAGTCACGTAAAGAGGCAAGAGAAAACGCAGCCGCCGCTGTCTCGGTAAGGAGCCCAACTCTAGCAAATTTCATTCCAAAGTGTCAAAACTCATGCATTCCCATATCCCCAGGAACGAGATTGGCGTTTGATTGAGGTGCCATTCTTGTCCTGTTCTGTGCCGTTCGCAAGCACGACGAGACAACGACAGAAAGTCAACCTCCGCAACTACCGCTACCATAGTAGTACAAGCAAAACGTTGTCGGCCGTGGAGTAGCGTCAGCTCTCCGCAGCACCATGTACGCAACTTGTGTTGTGATTCACAGGTTGTAATGAGCCGTGGAGCGGCAAAGCCGCGACCATTCTCTTCCCTCCATCCCAGGGGGGAAAACACAGGCTCTAACTATCGGCCTGGCTAAACGCGATGCAGGGGGCCAAACTTGATTTTCGGGGCCCTAAATAACCAGCCGTTTCGGCCCAACCAAGGTCTATAGGGCCCCGATTGGCGATATGTTGGCTTCTGACGAGGAGGGAACATAGAAATTAGGGCTCTCTTCGTCACACCGGTTTGGTCGTGCTCCGTCAACTTATGGCCGCGCTACAAAGGCATTTGTGCAAGAAGTTTGTACTTCGGAGTAGGACATTAGGCACCCCAACCCCTGGAGTTGCCGAGGAGGTGGAACACAATCGATCGGAGATCGATCCAGCTGTACCCAGGGAGAGACACAGAGAGGTGACACGCAGCTATGCCTCGCACATCCATACATGTAGGAAACATAGAAAACATACACACACAAACACACACCGCCGTGGCCCAGTCCCTTCCGTACGTGAAAGAACAGCAGTGATATCAAACGGGGTGCCCTATCTCTGGCTACACACACACCTACTTTATGTACGTGGTGCCGGCTCAGTGGCTGCACGGACGAGTCTGGACGATGAGCTCGTCTTCTTGCCGTTGGAAAACCTCTCAACATGCACGATAGATAAGATATGATGACAGTCATCGCCAGCAGCAGCAGCACTAGTGCAGTCGTGTCAGCTACCACTGTTAATTCATGTCGGCGGCAGTGCTGTTAGATGCCGATCGTTAGGCGGTACTACAGTGCTACAGAGCATAGCATGTGTGCGTGTTCCTCCGCGGTGGATGTATATATTGTTAAGTACCAGTAGAATAGAAAGTTTAAAGTTTACGTTTACAAAACCCCTTTTCGACTGAGGTATCTCGAACCGGTAGTCTTTCTGGGAGGTCATGCTTAGTTTCTAAAAAATTCCCAGAGGGAGCGGACGCACCTGTCGTGGAAGATACGTTCGAACAATATTCCGCAAGAAAGGAATTGCGCGATCTGGGTTGCTGCGTTGCTGCCGGGGAGCAGCGCGTCTCGAACCTCGCACAGCATCGCAGATACACATGTACTGCCAGGTTTGAGTCGTACCCCGCGGCTCATTTACCCCATTTAGTACAGGCGCAAGCAACAGCATTGCTGTGTAGCAGTCGCAGCCGTCGCCAGTGCGCGAAGCGTGTGTATGGCAGCTTTTTACCACCTCCGTTGTAGGTTTATTTGCTGTATATGGCATGTTTACACTAGATGCGGAAGATAGCACACCCCCTGACCGATTTTCAAAGCTCGATTCTTTCACGACCAAGAGGATGTAACAATCGGACGACGCATTTTCAGAAAGCTCTCGACGGGATGGCTCCAACGCCATCATGTTTGGCACCGTCGCACTGCTGTTTTTGCTGCTGAGCAATCGAGCTTTGAAAACTGGCCCAAGGAGTGCAGTAGCAATAGCAATGTATGCAAGCTATTATAGCTACGACTCTAGAGGGCAGAGGCGTGGTGTGCTAGGCTAACCGCTCAGCCCACCACACTCACGTTGGAGAATAGAGTGCACATGGACCTACCTCCATCTCCTCCAAATACATCAGCGCCTCCCGGCCTCTCCCGCCCTTAGCCAGGAACGCCAAGCATCCCCTGTATGTTCTGAGGTTGAACTCGGCACCTTCGTCCCTGAGCTCCTGCATCACGCGCGTCACGTCCACCTTTGCAGCATTTGGTCTCCGCATGCCCAGCATCGCCTTGAAGCGCATCTCGCCCCACGTTCTAGCATTATCGCTGAAAGTTTCCCGCTTCCCCACTGTTGGAGCAGCATCGTCCCCGGCGATGGCGGCGCTCAGAGAGAAGCATGCCCGTCGTCGATGTCGTTGCTGCTGCCCTGGTCGGTGCAGCTGCTGCACATGATTGCCGCCGCCTGCTGCCAACCTGTTTGACGTTGCCCTCCAAAAGCCACATCCCGCCGACCTGCTCAACCTAACCCCGAACGCAATGTCCTTCATCTAGACACGGTTCTCTCGTGTAGCCCCAACCTATGGCCCTTAATCGAAAGACAAGACACGCACTGGCCAAGGACGAGAGCTGGCAGAGTAGCGAGCGGTTGGCAAACATGGCAAATGATCGGGGGCACCGCTGACAAAAACCGCGTGGGACTACATTACTACCAGGTACTATGTACCCATCCCGTCCGCCGTCGCCCGCCGGGTCTTGCTGCTGTTGTTGCTTGTTGGCATCTTGTGCATAGACTAGGCAGCACACGGACAGCAGGCCATCGCAAACGAAGCACATCCATCAGCATTTTGGAGAGGAACCATGGCCGGAGGCCATCCATCAACCTGGCCGGAGGTCCTTTCTAGCATGAACGGATTCCCCTTTCCCCATCTGTCAGCGTGCAGGTCTGTGTCTGGACTTGTGTACATGGAGCACAACAAAGAGGCAATGATTTTGATTGCCAATGCAAGCGTCACAGCAAGCGTCACAGCAAGCGTACATCCAGTACCTGCCTCGTGTGTACCAACGTCCGCACGTGCATAGAGCGAGAAGAAGACACATGCAAGTAGGCATGTGTTGCCGTTAAGCGGTGTTCGGCTAGGGAGGCGAAAGAAAGACGGGCAAAGGGATGCGGCGGGTCTTCCGCTGCCTCTCCTCCTCCCCCTCCTGTCTCTCTCCTGTCAGCACACCAACACACCACCGACTCTCTGTTCTCTGTTGTACACGCGGAGTCTTTGTGTCTCCCGCCTCTTTGTGCGCTGTTTTCTACGGCGCAGCTGCTGACCTTAGCCCCGAGAGAACGAATCCAAGTAATTGTTATTATAATACATGTACTTCAATTTTGTTGAACATAAAGAATTCTTTGTACGTACAAACGCACGCTCTCCCTGCGACAACAGCAGCACGCCTTTGCGCACGGCACCACACTGTACTGCTGTACCATGTAGACTTTGTATGCAACAAACTGCCCCAGACGCTTGTCTGTTTTCTATCACAGTGTTGTACAGCACTTGTAGCTCGTATGCTTGTCCGCTCTGCGCATGGCTCATGCACGCTCTATACTTGAACGCGTAAGAAGCATTTCCTCTATCTACAGGTGTACGCATACTTCGTCGACGACGTCTAACATCTACAATATAACACTCTAACCCGCACCGCCCCCGTTGTTATCGATGAAAAAACACCAGGGAACTCAATGGGCGGGCGCGGGATGGAAGTGAGGATCGCGAGGATCCTAACCTGGTCGTTTTGCCCGATGGCAAGACCTTTTACCTGCAGAGACGGCTCGTCAACTCTCTCTTTGGGGCCGTCTTCCATGGCATCCAGGGGGAGTGCCCGAATACAAACGAGTGAGTGTTGCATGTGGCGGAATGCGAGAGCGGGTGCAAGCCTTTGTACACCCGCATGCAGGTTGCATCCGATATCACATTTGCAAAAGATACCACACCGTCTTCGAAAAATTACACAATATTTGTACCACACCCGTGTGCTATTTTATTTAGCCCCGAGAAAAACGTCCTTTTCTATCATATGGTGACGTAAGACAACACCCCCGCAAGGTTGAGCCGCATATTATCGATGGAGCACCCGCTTATCACATGCTGCGACAACGCGACAACACGTGATCACAAGCACACAAGCGAAGCAACCTGCGCGCGAAAGCCATGGAGGCCGACAATACCTTGGAAGGAGGTGCAGTTAACATCACTGCTGAAAGCCCCGCCGCGGGGGAACGTGTGCCCCTGCTGAGACGGTTCCCTCAGCAGCCGTGCACGACACTACATGTACTGCTGAGGCCCGCACAACATTATCTACTGCTAGCCCCTTTTTCCCCCTTTCATCACACCCTGTACCTGGGTTCCTGCTTCGAGCGCACTTCATCACACGGGCGACATAATCACACCCCATCATTGTCGCACCCCCTGAAGGGTCATGTGAAAGCGCTTAATCATTCGGGCGACGATATCACACCCTCTCGTTATCACACCCCCTGCAGGTGGGGTGCTGTGAGTGCACTTTATCACACGGGTGGCATAAGATATCGCACCCCCTGCAGAATACCACCCCCGTGTGGTAACTTTGGTACCCCACAAAATGTTTTCGCACGGGCGTGGTATCTTATGCAACCTACGGTATGTACTGTGTACAACAGCAACGTCTGGGAGAGGGAGAGAAGGAAACTTGCATAGTTCTCTTGATGTTCTGATCGCCTGTATCCACGTGACATGCACTGAGATGTTATATCGTGTCCAAACAACGGCTGGGTCACAAAGGTAGACACATGAAGGTGGTGGTAGCGTTGTGTTTGCATCTGCTCCAAGCTTCTTGCCTAACCCCCAGATGAGATGCGTGGCCATCTCGTAAACCATTCTGAATAACGTTGTGTGATGTGCGCAGTGCTTCTTTTCTTGCCAAAGGAGCACGTGGACATGGCGGAATGTAGGCGATGGGTTGCACTCTTGTCCCCTCCCCTGCATGGGACCGCTTCCACACCGCGTACTTTTAGATGCATTGGTAGTCCACGTAATTATCGAAACATGCGCATGGCAGCTGCCGCCCATGCAGACGGTGATCAGACTGATGGTATTGATGAGCGTGCTGTCGTTAACTTGGGGGTGTTGATGTTGCAACCGGTTACTCTCCGGGAGACCCAGGGTCTATGTCTCCAAAAGGAGGTGCTGCTGTGCTACATTAGGGAGTGTTGGTATGCAGTGGGTGATGCAATGATGGTAGTCGAAGCTCCCCCCCGAAGGCGCGGAAGACACTACACATCTCTTGGAGGGCGCCACATCCGAACCTTAGTACTGGTAATGGCCTTACTCCACCGTTGGGCACTACTTCTCTTCTTCTGTGTCCAACTGTATCAATCAGTTCAATTTCGGTCCCTCCTCGATACGAGTCAGCTACATTTGCGTGTGTCGAGTGCAAAGACATGCTACATGTGTTGCCGAACTGTCTGTGAGAGCCACCTGCTGCTGCATGGCTGTACCGAAGGACTGACGAGAAAAGGTTTACGGCAATCTAACCTCGCGACCATGCTGTGGCTCATGGCGGATTACGTCATGCCGGTTGTCATTAGCACTCCCTATGAAATTGGGGGGGCACACTAGTTGTGCGAATGACGCGGTTTTGTTGCTGCTGTTATTGCTCCTCACGTTGATCGCCGACTGCCATCCCGTTCCCTCCCTTGCCTTCTTTTTGTTTTGCCGCTACTCTGCATTTCGCTGTGGCACTGTCCGGCCCGAAATAGCCCTTCTTCGTTTGCCGTGCCCTTTAGAGAGGAGGAACAGTTCCACGTGGCGGTGAAGAGATCGAGCCTTGCGCATATGCGGCGAACTCCGCAGGAGAACGTCTTCAAAGAAATCGCAGTCATGGTGAGGAGGTGTGCCGTTGTTGTTCTTGTTCACGCCGGGATATTCGGTTCTAATTTGCGAGATTGTTCACTGCTCCAGAGAGAGTAGAACCCGACCTTGTAGAGTTTCAAGGGTTTACGTCTACGTGTACGAGGTTTGTTTGTCAAGTGCGACTCTCCGCCGTTGTAACTGTTGTTGTGTGACTCCGCCAGAACTGTGAGTTTTTTTTTCTCGTCCCTCCTGTTTATGCCGATGCATAATTTGTTCGGTCAACTTTATTTTCTTCTGTACCAGTATTCTTTTCTTTAGCCCGTTGGATTGGCCTGACCCTCTCTTGCGTTTGCCGCCTCTTCTTCGTTTTCTGCACTGTCTTCGGCCGCAAAGCGCGATTTGGCGGCTGGGCCAAGGCAAGCAGGCGGACACCAGTTCGTCATGCCGTTGGTGGCGGCGTGCATGTCAGAGTAAGCATCGTTGGCGCTGCTACTGCTGTAGAGTATGCTATTTATTGGAGCAGATATCTATTGGTAGTATCTTTTGGAGGTTGAAGGAACGGCCCTACGATAATACAACGATCGGGTCGCAACCAAACTACGAAAACACACTTGCAGAAGGCCGGCGAACGCAATGATTAGAGGCGAAATTGCTTTGTCATTTATTGAAGTGCCTTGCATTGCCAAGGCGAGATGGGATCACTGCGTTGATTCGTTTGGGATGACATCGGACAGGGGAATAGAGGCACACTTGCGTCTCCTTTTTCTCAACATGATGCATGTGTACTTGTAGAGAATGATGCATGTGTACTTGTAGAGGCATGTGGCAGATTTGGCCGGTTTGGCCGAGCCTGAAACGTCGTGCCGCGCACGCGTGTCTAACAATCGCTTCGCTCCCGCCCCTCCCTTGTCGCTCGGCGAACAGGACACACGTTTACGTGGTGACACCGTACTGCGGGGGGGGGGACCTGTTGAAAATGGTTGAGCCGGGGGAGGGGACGGGGGAGCAACACGCAAGGAAATGGTTTCGGCAGATTTTGTTCGGGTTAGCTCATGTGCACTCGAGGGTGAGGAAGCGAGGGCCACTGCCTCGGCCGCAAACAGAACAGTAGCTACGCTTTGTGAACGGATTCATATGTACATAGCTTCGGAAACACTCCACCTTATCGTGGGGCAGTGCTTCGTTACCCGTCCCGCCCATGCCAGCGGAGAGATTGATTGGCAGCTGCGATCCACTGGGTAGTGCCGAGGCGTAGTCCTAGTGTTGACCTATTGTTCCGATAACTGTCTCTCTTTCTTCGAACCCCGGTCGGAACAGCAGCAGCACGCACAACATGCCAGTTTGTTTCGTCCGACACTATGCATAGGTGAACCCCAGAATCAGCGGTCGGTCCCGGCGCCTCCCCACCATTTTCGTCTCTTGTCGTTGTGGCAGGGCCTTTGTCACCACGACTTCAGCCCTGAGAATGTCGTCATCACCAGAATGGGAGACGCCGCGGTTGTGATGGACTTCGGCATGGTTCAGCGAATGCGGAGAGGTCCCCGGGGAGAGGTGCTGGCGGCGCGCGATGCACAGCGATTCGGCAAGTTTAGGTGAGCCGATGGTTTGGAAGTCGAGAGTGCCTTCCTCCGCAAGACGCAGTGTGACATGTCGTGTGCGCGCTCATTTCACCAGTACATGGGGGTATGCGACTGGTTGACGGACGCTGCTGGACGTGTGCTTGCCTCCAGAGGCACCGGTTTAAGCACAGTTGAGCCAGACCGACCATGGGCGTCGTTGAACCAGGTTCTGTTGCGTAGAGCTTGTCCTGAAGGACTCTCATGATTGACGTCGAGTTGCTTTTTGTGGCCATGGCATGGTGTTGCTGTTTCGGGATTAGGATGAGGATGAGGCTTCAAAACCAACGCCGCGTGTCCTATCACTATCACGGGGTGTGCTGTTTCAACTCTTAAAACGTTTTGGCCAACAACTACGTTGAGGTCGATGCAGTACTGTAGAGGTATGGCGCGCATTCCACCGCTCGTTGACGATACTGGTTGCATGCGTGATCGAATGGAATACGTTTGTTGATTGCCAAGGTACATGGCGCCGGAAATCTGGAACAACCAGGAGTACGACGGGAGGCAGATTGATATCTGGTCCGTCGGAGCCACACTGCTGGTGTGTCTGCTAGGAGACTATCCGTGGGCGGCACCGACGCGTGTACCGATGGAGGCACAAGGGATCTACAGGCGAGTGTGCTCGAGTAGGTTGTTCTGTCACTTTGGATGCCGCTTCACTCTGCCACAGTTTAGTTGGGGGATATCAAATCGTATTGTGGTTGCCGTCAGCTTGGTACTCCCAAGGGACTCGTAAATGTTTTCAAGTGTGCTGTTGCGTGTGCAGCCACGGGTATATGCCCGACCGGTGCGTGTACCGACACGATATGTACTCTTGCGTCCTTGTTGCTCGGAGGTAGATCTGTTTGGTGATTGCGAGGTGGTAATCTGGACCTATTATGGTCGTACAGCACACTAACATTGTTGCTCGGACGCACGTGCAGCCTGCGCCATTCAGCCGGAGCAACATTCCTCCCAAGTTCTCGAAACCGAAAAGACAACAATTTCCAGCCGTTGGGCCTCTTTCTGTGTCCCCCACATGAAACGGATAGGTCGAGCTGCTCGGTCCCAATATGTCCCTAGCATGATATCGGTCCTTTTGCAAGCACCGTAGTTGTCGTCAATACGCCAGAATCAATGACTGCGAACAAATTTAAGCAAGCAGTAAGCCGGCGGTCTGTGTTTTTACCGCGGTTTGTTTGCACTTCCCTTCCTCGCCTTCCCAGCAAGGGCCTTTGCGGATCTTATGAAAAGTGGTAGAACTAACCTATGCTATAGCATACAATAGTCTACTGCCTTTTCACAGCCCTACTGTCTCGTGAGCCCGAGTTTTTTTCGGAGTCTACAGTACAGACGCCTGAACCGGTTCCCGAGAGTATCGCGCCATGCGGTGCGCTGTGTCAGGAACTACTAGCATTGGACCGCTGGCGTATTGCTCTTGAAATGAACCTTTTTGGTTATCTCTGGTTCTCTCCGCGGGTTTGTATGACGTCATAATCCGCTGTGGTCATAAATGACGAAGCGAGTCGCAACATAGCATATTTGCAGCATATATCTCTACCTCGCTCATGGCTGGCAGCAGTCTCCACCTTCCACAACTCTCAGTCTTTCTTTTTTCTTTCGTTCCTGCGGCTCGCGGGGGGGAATAATGTACGCACACCTTCGCCCCGCGCGTAGCGCGCCCTAAGTTCACCCGCACGGACACGGACACTTTCGTCCCCAAGTAGATACGAAAGTGTTCTTTCTTGCTGTCGATCTGATGTTTTTGGCAACGAACTTCAACTTACGTGTGTGTGAATCTGTACCAGGTACCAGGATGTATCTTGCCGTACCCCCCCTGCACAGCATAGACACTACCACTACTTGTAAGTCTACCTCTTGTACATCACTACGAGATGGTACACAAGAATTTGAAGCCATGCACGGTGTGTTGTGGACTGAAGTACTGCTGTCGCACTGATGCTACTGTAGAGCCTAGCGGGGAAACAAATATTCCTGAAAATGATAGAGAACCAAACAAACGCAGCTTCCTGTATCTGTCCGATCCTCCATCTACTTACACCACTTGCCGATGTCCTCAACACTACCTTCAAACACTTCCTTCAATTTTTTTACCTACGGGTATTACGCGAGACCGGCGCCCATAGGGGGGGGGCGGGCGAAGCACCGCTTGTGAAATCATAAATATGAAAAATTAGAGAAGAAAAAATCAATGCTGCAGTTTGTGCTGCATCCCTTCATCACTAATCTCTTGAGCGCTGGCGCACGCGTTGTATAAGCAAGGTGTGGAGGAAGTTATTTATTTTTCGCGCTGCATGGACTGACAATAGACATTCCCTGCCTCTCCACGTCGACACAGTTCGGACATCTACAGCTACACGACCTTGGAGCAGCACGGGGCCGGAGTAATGCTCGATAGATTAAATCTCACATCGAGAATATCTGCAGGGGCGGTGGACCTCTTCTGCCAGATGCTGGTGGTGGACCGCAGGCTTCGTCCATCCTCGGCGCAACTGCTAGCACAGCACCCGTTTTTCGCGGCGTAGTTGTTTGAGGTCGACCTTGTTAACTTGGTAAGCTTGGCGTTGGGCCAGGCCTGAGCGATGGCAGGAATAACTAACACACGGACAAGGGGGGTATTTTTAGTGGCTGATGCTGTCTTTGGAGAGAGAGGGCAGAGCACGGGGGAGGGAAGGGGATCCGAGAGTGTCTCGGCGTCATATTTTCCTGAAGTATACCCGCAACCCGATAGACTAACGCGTAGACATTATTTGATGGTTTTTTCGCTGTTTTGGTAAATACATGCATGTCCCAAAGTAAGAAGTGTTTTGTGTGTTTTCCCTGATTACGGAGTCGCTCTACACGGTTAGGTCCGCGGTTGGTTGGAAGTGGGCTTCCTTAAGATGTGCAGGTGTTGGTGCGAGAGTGAATGCGTGAGGTGTGCTCTGGTGGTTCTTCACCTTCTTCCCCTACTTGAAATGCGGGCTGTTTATTTATGGTTGAGATGTAATTTAGTGTGGTGCAATGGCCAGTTTTTGTGAGCGTTTAAATTATGATGGTACTTGGAAGGATGTCATTATCGTGGACGCATCCCCCGGGCGGGCGTCGATGGACATGTCCGTGGACGGACCATGGTTGGTGTGGAATTCACCGAAACGCGCGCGCCCGAGCAGTTGACTTTTCCGTGGCAAGCAGGGCGGATCGTCTCGTGAGGTGATGGTGTGTGCATGAGGCTTGAAGCGGACGACCGCCGCGTACCTAGATGGCATTTAGCACGGGCTTGTCAGGTGTGCGAAACGAGAAAGATTCAATCTCCGTCTGCAGCTCGTGCGTATGCATGCAACGAGAGAAAACATGTGATGCGAGTGACGTCCGATGCACGTACGCAAAGCACGTAGTGCGATCTTAGCGCGATCTTACAGTTGGCCACGGAGCAGAGCTCAGCGCACCGCGTATCCGCACGTGGGGCGTTGCGACATGGCTTACCCTGCTTGTGGCAATCAATGTCCGTGAGAGAGTTGTGCCAACGACTCTTGTCTTTGTACAAGGACGACGTGATCACAGAAGAATACTCGATCTACTGGATGGCGCTGCAAAATACCTGCTGTATATTTTTCGTCGGAGAAGACCGGATGGAAAACAGAACGAGGGGATGGGAGGTGCCCAGGGGCTGCACCATCCGAGCAAAGCATACTGATGGAAACACCCTGAAGCATGTATCCCAAATTACCAACCAATCAGTTGACATGGGGCACAGATCCGTGTACGTACACATATATGTGACACGATGTGCCGCCATATATGCCGCCAAAAGGTTTGTTTCTTGTCCAGGAGAGAAGAGGAGGGTGTTTCAGCGGTGGATGTCCTGAACAATAAATTTGTGATACCTACAGGTTCGTATGAAACGCCAAACCGGACCTGGTCCGAACGTCCGAACTCGAACGTCGGAGCGCCCGAACGTCCGAACTCGGTTACCTCCGATGAGCGAGGCACTGATTGGCCGAGGCCGACATTCCAGCCACCGCCCAAAAAATAAATATGAGAGGAGGCATTTCACATATTACGCCCTTTTGCCGCTCTCCAGCTCCCTAAACCTCTGCCTTCTACCCATTCCCCGCAGCGCAGGCCAGAGAGAACGCTGCCAAAGCAACTCAACCGGAGAATATGCTGTAGCTGCCACCGGAAAAGGGAATATTTGGTCTCACATTTGACTGGTGCGGCATTCGTGGTTCCACGAGCGCGTGAGCAACCCTCAACCAAACCCAACAAGCCTTGTACGCTTGCTGGAGAGCATGGTATGCATACATAGTCTATGTACAGCAGTAGTCTGGTGCCGGCAGGTCGAAGACGAGCAATCTGGATCGTAACCCCACCATACCTTCCTCTTCCCCCTTTTTGGTGAGTGGTACAAGTAATCATGTACTGACGTCCGGAAGTGAGTGGCAGCATCAGGGTTGGAGCTCGTTTGTCCTGCTACTGCTGTAAGAGAGCGTGTCCTGCCAAGGTGGTGATTTCTCTGGCAGGCAGATCGAGGACGAGCGGTCGGAATTCTCCCACTGCCATATCTTTCTCTCCCCTTTTCTCGGTAAATATCCGGAAGGGCCGGGTTGCAGTAGAGTTCCCAGCTCGTTTTTCTCTTGAGCAGTAGTCGTCCCCGCTCACCGGGGTACGCAGTTGCCTCGTCAAGGTTCGGCGCACAGGACAAGAAATGGGTCAGCTGCAGAAACGAATGGCCAAAGAGATACCATGCCTGTACATATTGTGTACGAAACGTTGATGTTTCCTTGCTGGGTGGAAGAAAATGAAACAGTTCGTTCGGTACAAACGTGAATGCGCACAAGTTTGCCATATTTGGGTCCAACAAAACGAAAACGACAAGAGGGACGTCGAACAGAAAAGGTGAGGTGCTTCCATGATAGGCCTGTAACAAGGCACCCACGTGAGTCCAAGGAACGAAAACAAAGCAAGGAAGGGTGACCAAGAGAGACAGCGGAGCGCGACTGTTGCCACGAGGTCCATCGGCAACATGTGTATATTCGGTGTCGTTCCAAAACGCCACTCGAACCAATACTCCGAGAATGAGGTCTCTTGTCAAAACGGCGCCAAGACCAAACTCACGCCCTCGCAAAAGAAGTGTTGAGGCACACACAAACCAAGGCGGAGCGGTTTTCTTAGCACAGCAGGAAACACTTGTACCACAATAGATACAACTTCACACCTTCATGTCGAGGCGCTGGGTCTCCTTGATGAGAGGGGTGGGAACCGAAAGGAGCACGATGTCCGCGTTCAGGTCCGCAGTCGTCCGGGTGGAAGCACTTAACGCCCGCGTCGTTCATCTTGTCGATGATGGCCGGCACCACGTCGAAGCCGGTAAGGCTGTAGTTTGTCATTCGTTCGTGGTTGAGTGACAGTAGCAGCAGCGAGACGTTAAAAAGAAGCGGCAGTCCTTTCAGTTGAGGGGCACGTTTGAGGGGAACGTTTCAAGGGCAATGGTGGGGCGCGGCGAGGGGCGTTCCAGGGGGTTGTGTCCTACAATCGTGCTTCTTATTTTCTAAGTATGTACAACCGTGTGCTTTCATGTCCAGTAGATGTCTGCTTGTCGGGAGAAGTCGGTCCGTCCCGACAAGAGAGTTAAGAGTGATCGGTCGATTAGGTTATCGTGAATCGAGGTAGGTACATGTGTTTTCCAAAAGAGAAAAGGCGATGCTTCCCGAGTGATTCAACGGCTCGTGAAAAACCAACTTACGAAGGAGAAGATATCGCACGGTACAACACCACCAGGCAAATGTCTGTGTCATCATCAGTAGAGCAGTAGAGGGTGAACTTGTACAGAAACAAAGAGGCAGGTTGATCCTGTGTCACACGGGCTGGGTACGTCAAATATAACGCTGTCCACGGGACATTGCACCAAATCCCGGTGTTTTCAAAACAAATACAAGCATACGGCTGTACGCCGAAAGGTGCAGGCTGGCGAACAAAAGAACCCCCCGGTGGAGCGCCCATGCACGCAGACGCTTCGCGGGCCTAAAGCCCGAAGCAGGGAAATCGAACTGACTGCTGCTGTGCTCGGTATCGCACCCATGTCTTTAGCGACGCTGGGGTGGTTCTTTATCCCGTCACCGGGGAGTACGCCGTCCACGGGATACTACGGTGTTTGCGAAGTTGGAATTTCAGTTTCATCTTGGTCTTTTTGATCCCCCCGAGCGCCGAAGACCGATGGATCTTTAGGAATTCAATCTTTTGCTTTATGGAATTGCCCCCAAAGACCGCAGGAAAGCTTGAATTCAGTCTTGCTCATTTTGGTCTTTGAAGGAACAATTTTTGATTGGCCTACACACCCCGAGATACTCCCGACGTCCTCCCGACACCGCCGCACCATCCCGTGGAGCTGCCCAAACACACACACCTTGGCCGCCGTAGACGACACCATGGCGAACCAACTACAAACAGCAGCAGTGCCGCCAGACCACAGACGGTCAGACAAACGTCGCTGCACCGCACACCCGGTGCGCATTGCATGCTGCCGACATGGTGCAACTTTTGCTTCATCTTAAATGTTTATGCGTGGACAGAAGCATGCCGCTCTACATGCATGCTCATAACAAGTAACACATCAAGCCGCGGCGTGAGGAGGGTGAGGCGGTGAGGCGGGCGGCATAGATCTCAGGAGTGCGGCACAGGTGATGGAGGCGGAGGTGATGGAGATGGGGATGCTTCAAGCGGCGTGGGGGCGTGAGGAGCTGCAGCGCGTGCGTCCTGTGGACCGTGCTGTGGTGATTTGTTTGACAGGAAACGATCGACTCCGTCGACGACTGACTGCGATATGTATCACAACTTGTTCGCGTGCTGTAGGGGTACGTACACACATGCATGCCTCCACTTTTTGCGGCGCTACGCTTCCCATGCACTCCCGGTAACTGAACTGGGCCAACCGCCTGTTCATGAATTAGTACGTTGCTCCATCAGTATTCTCCATGACTGGGGGTGAGGGTGATAGTGGAGTATGTAGTAGTAGCCTTGTTGGGTTGAAAGCGGAAGCTCGGAAATAAATATGTTTGGTGTTCCGAGTCGGCTCAACCATCTGTCTGCCGCCGCCGGCAAAGGGGCTCCGTCGTATCGAACGCAACGTTCTAGGAAATTTCCGTATGTTCAAGACTGAAATATTGCGCTCCGGTCTTCGCAAGCTATTTTTGAAACTAAAATTCAATCTTGGGCCGGAATTCCTTCAAACTTCCAAGACTGAAATGGGAGACCATTTCGCAAACACCCTAATGTTCCTAGAAGATGGAGCGGGGAATTTTGGGGGTTCCGCAGTTGTAATAAATTGGGGGAATGGTGGTACCATCTTTGCCACATATTCTTGTTTTCTGGGTATGCGTGTCTGCAACGGTGTTGGCCACGTGCCCTTGATTAATTCATCTTCTTTTTCCCGGCTATCTCGCCCTGGGCTATCACGCCCGTGCCCGTACTACCTATCCACCAGCTATCACGCTGCCAGGCTTTCACGCCTCTAGGCTATCACGCCATCACAACAGCTATCACAGCACCAGCGTCAACACATCAGAGCTATCACGCTCCGGAACATCATAGATGCGGCGGGTTACCACACCCGTGGGCAGTTTACTGTATTTTATGGTTGCCGGCAAACTCGCCGCGCGGTTCTTTTATTTTTGCCGTCTACAACTGCGCCGGGCGCACCAAGCCACCCAACACGCTAGCGTAATAGATCAAGAAAGTGGCTGCTGTGTCTGCGCGAATAAGACGGCTGGAGGAGATGGACGAAGACCTCCGCGGGGACCAGGGACTAGTTCCTCTCCCCACGGGGAAGACAACGGGGGGGAAGGACGAGGTTCGTTGAACCTCCCCGATGTGGACCAGCAGGGAGGAACGAAAGCAGCCGCGGATGGAGGGGAACAAGATCCAACTATCGCCCTTGTCGACCTCCTCCGCCGGGTTGCCAACTTCGCATCCCAGACTCCAGGACATGACGTCCGCTCAGGCACGTCTAGTTCCCAGCCCATAGAGTTGAAGCTGAGAGAGAGAG